GAGAGTAGGGAAAAAATGCCAGTGCAAAGAATTCCTTCTCTGTAAATACAGTTTATGATCTATAGACAGGGTGCATAACTGATAGCAAGCTGATGCTATGCTTGATCTTAACTCATTGTCAGTAAAGTGGTTTTAAAATTCTCTCCCTGTTAGTAGGTTAATAGACTAGACTTTAAGGCCAGAAGGGACCATGATGATCATCTAGTCTGACCTCCTGCACACTGCAGTCCACAAAACCTCAGCTCCTCATTCCTGTAATAGACCCATGACCTCTGGCTGAGTTATTTTAAAGTTCTCAAATCAAGATTTAAATACTTTCAGCATAACAGGTGCTTTACCTTTCCTTAACAAATGATGTTGTAAGGGTGGAGAATCGGCCCAAAATGTTTAACAGCCCAGATCTGCACTTCCTGGATTCATTCTCCCATAGGCCCAGTCTGCATAGCCAGGGAAACTGGGGGTCTGATTCTGTGTGGTGCTGAGCACCTTTGTTTCCCATAAGCTGAGCAGCACGCTGCAGGAGATGCTCAGTCCTTGGTAAGATCAGGCCCCATGTTAAGGCTTCTCTAGCTATTCAGGTTTAAGTACAGGTTCCCTGGCCAGTACAGACAGGACCTACCTGTGCTGTGGACTGGTTTAAACTGTTGGAGCAGTGCACACAGCAGGATCCAGCAGCCTGCACTGGGCCTGGCTGCAGGGAGCTGGAGAAGAAGAAATAAGTGTTGGGCAAATAAGGTGTTGGAACCGCCGCTCCCTCTGGTCATGGCCTTGGGCGATGGGCTTACATTGTATGCGGGTGGGCACCTCTGAACTCTACTGGATGTGCCACCCACACCTAGGGCAGCATCACAGCTAGAGTGTAAGAGCTTGGTGAGCCTGCCTAGGAGCCCCTGTCCAGAGCCAGTGCCTCCATCCCAGCCCCGGCCACGGGGGCTCTGGACCCAGCTGGTTCCCGTCCTCAGCCCTGGCCAGGGGGCTCTGGACCAGCCGCTGCCCCTGTCCCTGTTCCAGCCCAGGCTGCAGGGCTCTGAACCGGACCAGTGACCCCGTCCCTACCCCTGGGGCTTCTGGACCAGCCGGTGCCCCATCCCCAGCACTGGCTACAGGGCTCTAAACCTGGCCGGTGACACCCTGGCACCCCCTTATTCACCACTGTCATACAATTAAGATATGTTTTGCCCAAAGTATGCCTTGTGAGGTATCATTCAAAATGTCTTGATCTGCTAGACAGTAATAGCTCATTGGATGGTATGTGCTATCATCGTATGAGAAGTTATGAAGTTTGGCTCTGTATGTGTTACTGAAACCTGTTGTGAGGTTGAAATCACCCACAAGCAGCCTGCCAGGTACAACAGTAAAAAGGCCAAACAATGTGAATGGCTTATTGAGGAAATGCACACAAGCACCAGGATTACCCCAGGAACTGTGTACAACACAAACCTCTCAGAGATAGCACTACACAATGGGAACTGTTTGACCCAGGTCACAGCAAAAGAGCTTTCCAGCAAGTGGGGAGAAGATATAAAAGGGAGAAAATGACATCATGATGGGACCTCACTCTCCCTACAACAACACACCTGGAAACATCTAAGGAACAAAGACTGAACTGGGGGAAGTGATGGTCCCAGACTAAGGGATTTCTAGTAGGGCTGTCGATTAATCACAGCTAACTCACACGATTAACTCAAAAAATTAATTATGATTAGTTGCAGTCTTAAACAATAGAATACCAATTGACATTTCTTAAATATTTTTGGATGGTTTTCTACATTTTCAAATATATTGATTTCAATTAAAACAGAATACAAAGTGTAAAATTTTCACTTTATATTATTATTTTTATTAGAAATATTTGCACTGTAAAAATGATAAACAGAAGAAATAGTATTTTTTAATTCACCTCATACAAGTACTGTAGTGTATTGTACTCTTTGTCCTGAAAGTGCAACCTCCAAATGTAGAATTTTTTTGTTACATAACTGCACTCAAAAACAAAACAATGTAAAACTTCAGAGGCTACAAGTCCACTCAGTCCTACTTCTTGTTCAGTCAATTGCTAAGACAAACAAGGTTATTTACATTTACAGGAGATACTGCTGCCCTCTTCTTATTTACAATGTCACCAGAAAGTGAGAACAGGCATTTGCATGGCATTTTTGTAGCTAGCATTGCAAGGTACTTATGTGCCAGGTACACGAAACATTCGTATGCCCCTTCATGTTTCGGCCACCATTCCAGAGGACATGCTTTGATGACACTCGTTAAAAAAATAATGCGTTAATTAAATTTGTGACTGAACTCCTTCGGGGAGAATTGTATGTCTTCGGCTCTGTTTTACCCGCATTCTGCCATATATTACATCTTACAGCAATCTTGGATGATGACCTAGCACATGTTGTTGTTCGTTTTAAGAACACTTTCACTGCAGATTTGACAAAATGCAAAGAAGGTACCAATGTGAGATTTCTAAAAATAGTTACAGCACTTGACCCAAGATTTAAGAATCTGAAGTGCCATCCAAAATCTGAGAGGGACGAGGTGTGGAGCATGCTTTCAGAAGTCTTAAAAGAGCAACACTCAGATGCAGAAACTGCAGAACCCAAACCACCAAAAAAGAAAATCAACCTTCTGCTGGTGGCATCTGACTCAGATAATGAAAATGAACATGCGTCGGTCTGCACTGCTTTGGATGGTTTTTGAGCAGAACCCATCATCAACATGGATGCATGTCCCCTGGAATGGTGGTTGAAGTACGAAGGGACATATGAATCTTTAGTGCATCTGGCACATAAATATCTTGCGACGCCGGCTACAAGAGTGCCATGAGAACGCCTGTTCTCACTTTCAGGTGACACTGTAAACAAGAATCAGGCAGCATTATCTCCTGCAAATTGTAACCAAACTTGTTTGTCTGAGAAATTGGCTGAAGTAGGACTGAGTGGTCTTGTAGGCTCTAAAGTTTTACATTGTTTTATTTTTGAATGCAGTTTTTTTGTACAGAATTCTATATTTGTGAGTTCAACTTTCATGATAAAGAGATTGCATTAGAGTATTGTATTAGGTGAATTGAAAAATACTATTTCTTTTGTCTTTTTAAAGTGCAAACACTTGTAATAAAAATAAATATAAAGTGAGCACTGTGCACTTTGTATTCTGTATTGTAATTGAAATAGATATGCTGGAAAATGTAGAAAACATCCACAAATATTTAAATAAATGATATTCTATTATTGTTTAATAGCGCAATTAATCATGATTATTTTTTTAATTGTGCGATTAATCACAATTATTTTTTTTAATCGCTTGAAAGTCCTAATTTTTAGCCTGTGTATGAAAACCTGGGAAACCCAAGCTGCAAAGCAAAGGTAGCTTGTGCCTTAAGAATCTGCCAGCCTGTTTATCACTCAGGGTGAGAATTTGTACTTCATATCCAATCTATTTAGTATATAAAGCTTAGTTTGTGATTTTTGTTTATTTGCTAGGTAATCTGCTTTGATCTGTTTGCTATAATCACTTAAAATCTGCCTTTTGTAGTTAATAAATTTATTTTTGTTTTAATCTAAACCAGTGAGCTTTGACTGGAGTGCTTGAGGAAAAGCTCTGCTTGGTTACCACAAATGTGCATTGTTTTCTTCACATTGAGGGAGAGGCAAATCTGGTATTAAAACCCATATACTGGCCAGATTTGACCAGGGCAGGATGGTACTGCTCTGTGGCCCTAGGCTGGGAAGCTGGCGGTTAGAGAGCCTGCATGTAACTGCAGCTGGGTGTGTTCCTGCCTGTATGTATGCTGGTGAAAGTGCAGGCTGGAGAGCTTTGCAGCTTCTCACAGCAGTACAGTGGGAAAGGGAGCACAGGCTGGTGGATCAGAGGGCTCAGTGGTACCCCAGTTCCAGGTGGCATCCCAGGGGGAACCCATCACAACTTAGTCCCTAGCCCTGGCCGCAGCGCTCTGAACCCAGTCGGAGCCCCTGGCCACAGCCATGGTCAGGGGTCTCTAGCCCCAGCCGGTCCTCCTGGCCCCCGCTGTGGGACTCTGAACCCATCCCAGCCAGTGCCCCTGGCCCCAGCCCTGGCCGCGGGTCTCTGAACCCAACCGGTGCCCCTGGCCCCAGCCCTGGCCGCGGGGGCTCCGAACCCAGCCGGTGTCCCTGGCCCCAGCCCCCCCGGGCTCCAACCCAGCCAGTGCCCTGGCCCCAGCCCTCCCGGGGCTGAACCCAGCCGTGTCCCTGGCCCCAGCCCCCCCGGCCCGAACCCACCGTGTCCCTGGCCCCACCCCCCCGCTCCGAACCCACCGTGCCCCTGGCCCCAGCCCTGCCGCGCCTGAGCCCAGCCGGGACCCTGGCCCCACCCTGGCCCGGGGCTCTGAGCCCAGCCGGGGACCCTGGCCCCAGCCCTCCGGGCGAACCCACCGTGCCCTGCCCCAGCCCTGCCCGGCTCTGAGCCACCTGTCCCTCCCCACCCCCCCCCGAACCCAGCCGGTGCCCCTGGCCCCAGCCCTGGCCGCGGGGCTCTGAGCCCAGCCGGGGACCCTGGCCCCAGCCCTGGCCGCGGGGCTCTGAGCCCAGCCGGGGACCCTGGCCCCAGCCCTGGCCGCGGGGCTCTGAGCCCAGCCGGTGCCCCTGGCCCCAGCCCTGGCCGCGGGGCTCTGAGCCCAGCCGGTGCCCCTGGCCCCAGCCCTGGCCGCGGGGCTCTGAGCCCAGCCGGTGCCCCTGGCCCCAGCCCTGGCCGCGGGGCTCTGAGCCCAGCCGGTGTCCCTGGCCCCAGCCCTGGCCGCGGGGCTCCGAGCCCAGCCGGGGACCCTGGCCCCAGCCCTGGCCGCGGAGGCTCCGAACCCAGCCGGGCACCCTGGCCCCAGCCCCGGCCGCGGGGCTCTGAGCCCAGCCGGGGACCCTGGCCCCAGCCCCGGCCGCGGGGGCGCTGCAAGCCGGCTTCTAGCAGCAGGGGGCGCTGCAGCGCGCGAGCTGCCCTCGCGCCACGCACCTACAGCGGCGCGCGCCGCCCCATTTCTGTGGCTGAGAACGCGGTTGCCCTGGCGACCGGGACAAAGGGCGGCGCCAAGCCAGGGCCGGCGGGCGCGGAGCGGGTCCGGCGCTCGGCATGGCGGGCCGGCAGCCAGGTGGGTGCACGGCCCTGCGCGGGGCGGGACCGGGACCGGGACCGGGACCGGGACGTGCAGCCGCCGCCCTGCCGGGGAGCGGCACCTTCCCCCGGCCGCGCTGGTGCTCCGGGTGCCGCTGTACGGAGAGCGGCAGCGACTGGCCGTGCCCAGCCTGACCCCCGCCCGCACCTGGGGCCGGGCTCGGCTGGCCCCCGAAGCGTGCGGAGCTCTGGGGCAGGGCTTTGCAGAGCTCCATTCACGCGCCGCCAAAACCCGGCATTAGTAAGTAGGGCTGTCAAGCGATTAAAAAAATTAATCGTGATTAATTGCACAATTAATCACAATGTTAAACAATAATAGAATACCATTTATTTAAATGTTTTAGGATGTTTTCAACTTTTTCCAATATATCTGTTTCAATTACAATACAGAATGCAAAGTGTACAGTGCTCACTTGTTATTATTTTTGATTACAAGTATTTGCACTGTAAAAAGACAAAAGAAATAGTATTTTTCAGTTCACCTTATACAAGTACTGTAGTGTAATCTCTTTATCTTAAAAGGTGAATTTACAAATATAGAATTATGTACAAAAATACTGCATTCAAAAATAAAACAATGTCATATTTTAGAGCTTGCAAGTCCACTCAGTCCTACTTCTTGTTCAGCCAGTCGCTCAAACAAGTTTGTTTACATTTGCAGGAGATAATGCTGACCGCTTCTTGTTCACAGTGTCACCTGAAAGTGAGAACAGGCGTTCTCATGGCACTGTTGTAGCCGGCGTCGCAAGATATTTACGTGCCAGATGCGCATGCTTCAGCCACCATTCCAGGGGACATGCGTCCATGTTGATGATGGGTTCTGCTCAAAAACCATCCAAAGCAGTGCGGACCGACGCATGTTCATTTTCATTATCTGAGTCAGATGCCACCAGCAGAAGGTTGATTTTCTTTTTTGGTGGTTTGGGTTCTGCAGTTTCTGCATCTGAGTGTTGCTCTTTTAAGACTTCTGAAAGCATGCTCCACACCTCGTCCCTCTCAGATTTTGGATGGCACTTCAGATTCTTAAATCTTGGGTCAAGTGCTGTAACTATTTTTAGAAATCTCACATTGGTACCTTCTTTGCATTTTGTCAAATCTGCAGTGAAAGTGTTCTTAAAACGAACAACAACATGTGCTAGGTCATCATCCAAGATTGCTGTAAGATGTAATATATGGCAGAATGCGGGTAAAACAGAGCCGAAGACATACAATTCTCCCCCAAGGAGTTCAATCACAAATTTATTTAACAGATTATTTTTTTTAACAAGCATCATCAGCATGGAAGCATGTCCTCTGGAATGGTGGCTGAAACATGAAGGGGCATACGAATGTTTAGCGTATCTGGCACGTAATTACCTTGCAATGCTAGCTACAAAAATGCCATGCAAATGCCTGTTCTCACTTTCTGGTGACATTGTAAATAAGAAGAGGGCAGCATTATCTCCTGTAAATGAAATAACCTTGTTTGTCTTAGCTATTGGCTGAACAAGAAGTAGGACTGAGTGGAGTTATAGCCTCTGAAGTTTTATATTGTTTTGTTGTTGAGTGCAGTTATGTAACAAACAAAAAAAAATCTACATTTGGAGGTTGCACTTTCAGGACAAAGAGATTGCACTACAGTACTTGTATGAGGTGAATTGAAAAATACTATTTCTTCTATCATTTTTACAGTGCAAATATTTGTAATTAAAATATACACTTTGATTTCAGTTACAACACAGAATACAACATATATATGACAATGTAGAAAAGCATCCAAAATATTTAATACATTTCAATTGGTAGTTTCTTGTTTAACAGTGAATTAAAACTGTGATTAATCACAGTAAATGATTTGAATTGCGATTAATTTTTTTGAATTAATCACGTGAGTTAACTGTGATTAATCGACAGCCCTATTAATAAGATCATCCAGCTACTTGCAGGAAAGCATCCCACATGGCGGAGAGTTGTTCTTGGCTATTGCTGTTAAGGTGTGTACGATTCTTTCCATGGGGGCCCAGTTTACCATGTCTGTGCTCCAGTCTTTGGTCCCCTTTTGGATTTCCATGTTTGTAGTGCTAGTCTTTCAGCAATTATTAACACTCTGCTTAGCCAAAGTTTTTCACTTTATTCAGCTTCCAATTAACATCCATTAGGTTTTAAATTACCTGTTTAGCTTGTAACAAATTTTATTTGATCGGAAAAAATTAACTCTGCCATTCACTTCTGCCTGGTGTAGGAGCCTTCCCAGAGTACATGTGTTAAGTTAGCACCTGCTGAATCATGGCACCAACCTTTGTCTGCCTTAGCAGCAGCTGTTTCGATCAGTTGGAGAGGGGTCCAATGCATACTCTATATGATTTTCGGATGGATTAAGCTTAAATGGAGATCTAAGGAGCACTGGCTAAATTTTGTTTCAATTGGTTTCAATCCTAGTTCCTCCTCCCATTTCTTTTTGGGGTATTCATGTTTATTTCAAATTTGCTGGCCCTGTGTGCATATAGTGTTGCCATAGATCTTGGCAATCTGGATAATATTTGGAGGAATGAAAGCAGTTCAGGTGAGTCAGCTTAGCTCAGACATGGGGCCAAACAGATGGGAGAGGGCATGTCTAATTTGGGAATATTGCCACTTCTTCTTAGGCTCTAGATTGGACCTCAATTTTAATATTGTAAAAGGGAGGAAAGTGCCATGTTAAATTGGCTGATGGTCAAAATTCCTTTCCTAAGCCAATCTGGCGAAATGATGGGGTTGCCTACTTGTTACGGGGTGCACTCGCCACTGGTGGAGCGTCTTCCCCAACCTGTTCAAGTGAGAATCTACCTGTAAAATTTGTTCCCACATGAAGGACGATCAGTGGATTCTTTCCCGCTCCCCTTAGGATCCTCTTCAACCTCAGGTCCAAATCCCGTATCTTAGCATCTGGAAGGCAGCACACCCTTCTATTCTCTGGATCAGCTCTGGTTACAGGCCTGTCCATTCTTCTCAGTAAGGAGTCCCCGATCATGTAGACCTGCCTTTTCCTGGTGATGGTGCGATTCTCCGGTCTATCCCCTGTTCCCTCTGGCTGCAAGTTCTTTCCATTCCTATTCTCCCTTGTAATCTTCTTCAACCCATCCTGTATCCTTCTGGGGCTCATATTTGGGGTAGTCTCCATTGACTCTTCCCCTTTTCCTTTAGGACTAGCCGCTCTTCTCTTCTTCCTTGCCCTTCCATCTTCAGTGACCACCTGCTGAGCCCCTTCTTCATTTTCCAACTCTGAAAACCTGTTCTTGAGCTCTATTTCTCCTTCACTAGCCCGTCTTTTCCTCTGCCTGGTTCTCTTAGTTACATGCTTCCACTGTCCATTTTCTTCACCTCAGAGTTCTTCGGTCCTGCTTCCATCTGCAAGTCTGAGCTTTTCCCTTCAGCCGCCTCATGTCTTTGCTCCATAATCCGCTCGAACCCCCTTCTAAACTCAATCAGACTTTCCACCTTCATCTCCAATCCTCGGATGTTTTCTTCCATCAGCTCAATCAGACGGCACTTCATGCAGACAAAACTCTTCCCAGGTATGTCTTTTGGGTCTCTTGATGTCAAAGAAACCATTGTAATTAAGTGACCTGATAGAGATGTTTTGGTCATTGCTGTTCACTGCTTTCAAAAAATGGAACACAGAGATAATGTGTGGATTGAAACAGGCACCATTAGCAGTACAACTGACAAGCATCACTTCATGCCTGTACATGCAATCTGTGATGCACTCACTCCTGATTTCTGCAGCATATTTCCTGTTATACATGCATTAACAGCTTGTGATTTTGTGTTATCCCTGTTTGGTATTGGGGAAAAAAATCTGTTTAATGTTGTCAAAAGAAAGGGAGCTTACTGCTTCAGAGATCTTGTCAAATTGTGAGAGTGATGGACAAGCTGCAATTTCTGCAGCAAGGAAGTTGGTAGCAGTGCTGTAAGACCAGAGCGAGCGAAAAAGGAGACCCTGAGACCTACATTGCTTGCGCCTCAATCTAGCCATCAAAAAGGACAGGTCACTGGCCAGACTCCCACCATGTGAGGATAGTTCTGAAGAACAAGTCAAAAGAGCATGTTGGCAAACAAAGATTTGGACACCTTTGCACATAGGTAAGCCAGATACTGGATCACCAGTGCAACATGGATGGGGAAAATGGAGATAGTGAACTACTTTCTGTATTCAAGGGCCCGATGGCATCTGAGCTTCTACAACACCTTGTTTGTGCCTCTGCCAGTAGAGGTTGCTCCACAATCATCTGTTCTGACTTCAGGCGCAATCTTCCCTGCACAGAACTGTGGACTGCCACAGCAAGGAAGACTCTCGAATCCCATGCACTCTCCACGGAGACCATAATGATGAACAAGATAATGACTAGAAATGTCACAAGCGTGATTACGTTTTAATGGTACCTGTACACATTTATTATTAGATTTTGCTTTACCCTTTTTGTTATGATGCTTTGAGGTCACAAAGAAATCTAATTTTATGTCTTGAAAATAATTCATAGAGTCATTAAACTAACAAAAACAAATGCTAATATTTCAACACGTTGATGATACCATTGTTTATCCCTATTTCTGTGGTGATGGCACCACTTGACAGCTCATGTTAGAGTGGACATAATAAGCTTTCAAATAGTGTATTGTGTGTAGAAAGGTACATTAAGTCTCCCAAATTGGTGGCGCCTGCAGCAATGAATGTGTCTTGGTCTGGTTAGCAGGATGTTTGCTGTGCGAAGATTCTGGTTTAGTTTACTAGGGGGTTGTCAGGAAGGAAGAAAAATGGCTCACGGTAAGGCACTTTTCAGCAAGCATTTGAGGGTTGCCAAGAGACCATGCCAGAATGGGGAAAAGCCTAGGGACCCAGGAGAGCAAAAGGATCCTGACGTTTAAAAAGGAACACTCTCTTAAGAATCATAGAATATCAGGGTTGGAAGGGACCTCAGGAGGTCATCTAGTCCAACCCCCTGTTCAAAGCAGGACCAATCCCCAATTTTTGCCCCAGATCCCTAAATGGCCCCCTCAAGGATTGAACTCACAACCCTGGGTTTAGCAGGCCAATGCTCAAACCACTGAGCTATCCCTCCCCCCCGAAAGAGAGGTGGAAGTTGTTTGGGGGAGCCAGGCTAACGCCCAGGCACTTGCTGAGGTATCTGAAGAAACTAGGCCTGCCTAGGTTATCATCAGGGGATAGTAAACCTTTAGGTGAGATACACAGGAAGTGTTTGATGAGAAAACAGCATACATAGAGGAAGGAATAACGCCTGAATGTTGCACTGTCTTGACTCTCTCTCCTTTTCTGCTTGAACAGTAAATAGTGTTCATTTCTGTCCTATATCACATGTCTGGTACAATGTTACATTGACCATGACTTTTGATAAAGCGTTCCAGCAGAGGGCAAGCTTTTCCATCAGATACTAGACACTGAGGTGTGGAGCTACATTATTCCACAGCTAAGGTTGTAAGCCCAGTTCTCCATGTGCACACAAACAACTGTGTAACTTCTTCAGAAGATGTTTCTTTCCTCCTCACGTTTTTCATGTTCGGTTTCTAACCCAAGGAGCTGGAGGCTCATCATTTTTGCAATAAGAGACTTTTTAAAAAAAACGTTCTTTCCTTTTTTGTAAAAGCTTCCAGCATGCATTTGTTTACTTAATAGATACAAAATAGAATAACTGAGAGAAGAAGGACATTTAGGAATGTATTTAGTAGTACTTTTGAGACTTTGGGCATAGGACTATTTTTACTAAGGCTGCGTTGAACATTTTAGAGCTCGGTCCGATTCTCTCCATTGTTTCACCTTGTGGAGTTATTTATTCCTGTGCAGAACTGGTGTGAAGTGCTCCCAGCTCAGACTGGTGGTGCTTTGCACACACTTTGCACAAGGCTAAAGGACTCCTCAAGATGCAAGGCAATCCCACATTTTTTATTTCTGGAAGTTATACTAAGGTCTCTGTGGAGATTATGGGCCTAATTTTTCTCCTGCTCCATGGGTCTAAGTCAAGAGTAACCCCATTCCAGTCAGTGGAGTTACAACAGCATAACACCAGTGTAAGCATGAGGAGAATCCAGCCTTGTGGCCATTAGGAGTAATATGTATAGTGGCTATTGTGTTTGCAGGTTCCATGAGAGCCTTAGCCATGGTTTGTGTAACTTACAAACTCAGCTGGTGGATGATGGGAGCTCTGTGAGGTTGTTGGCTGGAGCTACAGTCTCAGCTGAGTACCTGAAGGAAGTGGGGAGGGGGGTGCTCACCACATGGAAAGAGGCACCAGAGAAGCTGGCTCCTGCTTAAGGGCAGGGGCCTTGGCTCGGTGCTTGTCAGAGCCAGAAAGCCGCTCCTAACCCTCTCCTCCAGTGAAGAGGAAGCCTGTCTTTACACCAGCACCTGCCTTAGCCTGATCACAATTATGTGACCCTGTTCTCAGATATCACTCTGTGAAAGCCAGGTGCTCTTTCTTTCAGCCTCCATATTCACAGACTCTCAACCCACTCCAGTCACCGACCCTCATCTCTTCAGTCACAGGACACTCCCCAATCCAGCATGACCCTGCCACTCATTCCTCACCCATGCGGGACCATCCAGCTTCGCCCCCACCCTGGGGATGGCCCTGCTCACAGAATTGGGCACCTGGCTGATTTTACTTGCACACTGGTCGTGCTCCCTGCAGCAGAGGCTGACTGAGGATGATGCAGCCGTCAGAAAGAGCCCACTTTGGCTTTAGGATCCGAGTGGAATGTGCAGAGCTGGCAGTTAGAAAAACAATTGGCAGGATTCTCTCCCCCTCCCCTGGCCCCTAAGCTTTGCTTGAGTGCAGGGGGGAATGGGGCCCAAGTGGTGTCTTAGCCCAGTGCCAGCCAGCCCCAGCAGAAGCTATAGCTGCTTGGGGCTTGCTCAAGCATTACAGCTTTTACGTAAAGTTCGTAACAAGGTCAGCTGGTGCAGGAACGGTTCTGCCTCCCTCAACCCTCCCGTCAGAGAATCCTCTTACACCTGGGGAATTCTCTGCCAGTCCTTCCCAGCCAGAATCTGTTTTCTCTGCTGAGCAGCTGGGAGTAGCCAGAGCTATATGTTTTACCTAGAAACTGAGGACAATTGATATGGAAATCAGAGAGAGATAATCAACAGGGAGGGAGCCCTGCAGAGGTTCTCTCATTTCTGCATGGTCGCGTTCCAGAGCAGAACCTCACTTCAACAACCAAGAGGCAGGGAAGCTTGGCTGCTTATATAAATTAATTAAAAAGGGACATTAAAGGATGTTACTGAATGCCACAAAAGCAAGTCTAGGGACCTCATCTCCCTAGGATAATGCATACGTCATGGCCAACAAGGTGCAATAAGGACGAGTCTCCTCTCTGAACTTTAGGTTTCCTTGATGGTGTGAAATGCCACCACCCACAACAATGGGTGGGGGAACTTGATGGGCCAAGGGACGATAGGTTGCCCCTCCCCCTGGAGTCTCTGCCATCTATTGGCCAGCTGGAGGAGAGGGGTGCTGATTGGCCAGCATTCCCCACTTCCCAGGGTGCAGGAGCCACGTGGAGCCTCTTTGAGCTCCGTTCCAGCAGCCCACCCTACCCCCTGAACTAGGAGTGGGAGCCTGGCCTGATCGATGCTGTGGGTGTAGCCAATTGCCTGTTTAGGGGGTCTGGAATGAATTTTTCTCCCATAGGCCAATTGGCAGAGGATCAGAGAGGTTTTTTTGGCCTTCTTTGCAGCACCTGCAAGCCACAGTGGGTTGAATAGGAACGTGCTTAGCACCTAACTGCAGTACTGAGATGCTGGTGTTTACTCATCGCAACTTGCGACTGGTTTCCAGTGCGATTAATAGAACAAAGTGAATGGTTTCTAGAGGTAAAATATCTGGGATTTGGGTGATGGGCTTATGTGATAAGATGAGTCCTTGTGGCCTTTGTGGGCTGAGATCAGGACTTGTGGCCGACATGGGCCGAGATCCTTATCCTGCTGCACCATCTGTCCCCCTCATGCGGGGGAGGGTGCTAGGACTCAGAGAACTGAGTCCTGGGGAGTGGGCTGAGGAGAGCCTCGTTATGGGCTATATGGTAAGGAGCCCTGTAACCCCCAATTTAATGCCTGGTATAGGAGAGTGTGGGTGATGGGTGGGTAGTGCCCCTTTCTTGTTTAATAAAAGTTGCAGCCTGCCGTTTAATTCCATGCATGTGTCTGTCCTCACTTTGCCTCTACGTCCATATCAGTTGTCTTTGGGCCACATGGAACACATATGCAGTCATTCACCTGTACAGCGCCTAGCACAACGGGGCCCTGATCCTTGACTGGGGTCCTTTGGTGCCACCTCGATGGAAATAATCATCATTGTTCATGTAAGTGGGAGGAAATCCTGACCCAGTTCTGCTCTCCAAGCCTGTGAGACTGGATATCACAACTCTCTGTCTGCAACTAGTCTGCTAATACTGTGGTCATAACCTAGGCATCACTTTTCCAAGTCTCTGGGCTACAGGGAATAGTACGACTTCACAAGTGTAGATGGAAGAAGCAGGGAGAGTGATATGGCACTCATGCCTCCCAAGCAGTGATTCATGGTTGTTGGTCTCCAAAGGGAAAGGTAAGTGTTTTTTTTAAAAACACCTGATTGCAGCACTGTAGTGATCTCAGGAAAATAATTAAGTAAACCTCTCATTTGAGTGAAGTGGGGGAACAGTTTTCATGTTTTGTTGTTGCAATTGTCTAGCTGGGCACAGATTCTGCAAGGCTGGCTTAATTGTGCAAAAGTGCATTTGGAAAGTTGTCTTTGTAGAAGAAAGGGTTAGCAACTTCCTTTTAACGTACAGCTTAAATGGTGTAGAAATCAGCTAGGAATTGCAAAGAAATCCCACCATTGCAATACCAGAGCTCTTTTCTCCTGCTTTGCTCTTCTTACATGCCAGGCTACTGCCTGGAATGAATATTTAAAGCTGATATTTATCAGTTTGTAAAAAATAGTGTTTGGTAGCAGATTAAAAGGATGTGGAACAAATGAGAGCCTCAGCTATAAAGACTCCAGTAGTGGTGTTGAAATAATAGTGTCTGAAGAAATTAATTATAACAACTCACACCATCTGCAGATTTGCTTTTGTTGAGGTCCTCATAATGCATTGTTTCCCAATAATTACACAAGTATGGTATCATTTGCTTCACTTCTGCCTTTACAACATACATCATTGGCCCTGGATTTTTCCTGTTTCTCAAGCATCCCAGTTCTGAAAATGGCACTATTCCTTTTGTACTTTGTCTTGTACAGTTTATATAATACTGCTTACCTAAGGCTCTGAAAAATTCCCTTGAAGTTTTAGTTAAAGCACATAATAGATTATTAGACTTAGCCAAAGAAGGACTTGTACATTACCGTTACATCCAATGATAATTTCCCCTTGTTGCTCATGTAACCAGGATTGAAAGTGAGCCGGAACGGGCTGGTACGGCTTATCATTAAGAACCCACACCGCCCGTACCCAGCCCCCATTAAAGCGCTGCCATGGCAGCACTTTTATGTCCCTACCCCTTTTGCCTCTCCCTGCTGGTAGGGTCCGTACTGGCAGGGCTGCTGCTAGGGGAGGCAAAAGGGGCAGGGACATTAAAGCGCAGCAGCGGCAAAGGACCCTACTGCGCTTTGAGGTCCCCACCCTTTTGCCCCCCCTCCCTCGCCCTGGCCCCGTTCCGGTAAGTGTCCTGAGTTACTTTCACCCCTGCATGTAACCCTTTTGCTAGGTGGAGCCAGCAGCAACCGGGGCTGGGTTCAATATCTCGGGGCTCCTTTCCATTGATGCAACACAGAACCGGCTCGCGCCCCCACCCTTAACCTGGGAAATTTACACACCATCCTTGGTGCCTCGGAGAGGCAATACTTTCCCCTCTTGCAAGCACAGAGTCTGAGTGTAGAAAAGAAACTTAATAAAAGGAGGGAAGTAACTCAGGAGTTAATTTGGGAAAACACCGCAAACAGGGTTCATAAACATAAACCATGAATAAAAGACCCACCCCCAAGTAAGTTGGGCAGTGTCCTTTTCTCCTCAGGTTCTTACGTCCAGCAACCCAAAAGTCCCTTTCAAATTCCCGACCCTTCTCTGCACCCCACTCACAGTTGCTGTTCTTGGTCAGTGCAGACCAGAGTTCAGAGGTGCATCTGCAGAGTTCACCTCCCCCCCGGGTGGGGGGTAAAGAGGCATCTTACTCACTCCACTCACTGGCAACCTGCTCTCGCCGCACCCCTCCACCAGCCACCCTGCCAACAGCTCTTCAAGCCCCTCCACCGCCCCCTGTGGGCCGCTTGTCACTCCTCTCTGCCGCCACCCTGCTGATCACTCATTCGCCAGCTGACTGTAAGTCACCTTCTGCCTCTCTGCTGTGACCTCTGCACATCAGTCTCTCAGTGATTTTTGGTTCTTTTGCAGGCTGGGCAGAAACACAGCCCCATCTCAAGTGATTTCAGCTCTCAGTGATTTTAGCTGTTAGCAGGCAGGGCAGAAACATAGTCCTACCACAACTGGTTTCAGCTCTGATTGAGCATTTAAAATAAAAAAAGAGGCTCCTAATGAAGCCTATTTAGCTCTATTCTTTGAACAGTGAAGAAGAACAGGTTAAGCCAGTTTAGAGAGGAGCCCTGGGATGTGGTGGGGAGTTGTGCAGCCTCCTGACCAGGACACCAGGACTCCTGTCCCCACCCCTCTTACTTTCATAGGGCTCTGACATTCGAGCCCCTGCTTAATGAGGTTCTTTCAACTGAGGGTGCCCCCCCTCATTTGGGACAGGTTAAGCCAGGGGTTCTCAAACTGGGGATTGTGACCCCTCAGGGGGTCACGAGGTTATTACCTGGGGGGTTGCGAGCTGTCAGCCTCCACCCCAAACCCCGCTTCACCTCCAGCATTTATAATAGTGTTAAATATTTTTTTAAAATTTTAGTGTATAAGGGGGGTCGCATTCAGAGGTTTGCTGTGTGAAAGGGGTCACCAGTACAAAAGTCTTAGAACCACTGGGTTAAGCACAGTCCTGCTTTCCTGTATTCCTATAATAATTACCACATTGGTAACCATACTTCACTACCCCTGCATTCAGTGCTAAGATCATTTGTACCCAACATCAGCCAAAGTTGATCCTTTGACACAGCTGTAAATGATGAATATGTAAACAGAACAGGAGCAAACTGTATTTACATAAACATATCCATAGTCTCTTCCTCTCCCAGCTAGCTGTCAGGGAAGTATTCATTCAGACCCTGCTTACAGTTGCATGGTTCAAAGAAATATGTGAATGTTTTTTGTTACAACAATTAATCACAGGGAAGTGTGAGAGATGATGTGTACATTGCACGGTAGTTACATTCAGGATAACTACTAGGAAAACATACCCAAAGCTGTCCGATAACTAAGGCTTAAGTAGTTGGACATGCTTCTTTTCCCTTGCCAGTTATTTTATAGAGAATAAAGTATAGTCATCTACTTACAATGAATGCAAATAAATGATAGCACAGAATGCAGGCATTATCCAGCCTTTTAATACCCACTTTGTTTTTGTTTTCTTTGCAGTTTCTTACTTCTGTTCATATTCAAGTGACAGGTAAGAAAAAATAACCTGGCAGGCATCTGGAAATGCAAGTACATAAGTCCTCTTCCTCACTCAGACAGAGCTCCCAGCATACCTAATGGGAGCTTTGCCTGAGTGTGGACTGCAGGCCTGGCTCCAAGGGGATTCATGGGGCTGGGGCTAATGTCATAAATATCAGGAGGAAATGTCTCCTGCAGATGAGGGAACTTGAATGAGTAAATCAGTTATGATGGCACAACAACATTTCTTACAACGCTGATGTGCTTTTGGAGGTCTGTGTCAACTGGTTATTACAAGAAATAATGTAGGGGAAATTATTCACATTATTTCAGTGTATCACCTGCAAAAAATAAATCCATTCCATGATATAGATGCTTGTAATAGTGTGCAGGTATGTGGCGCTGACCCTGAGCGCCTTGTGAAAGAGCAACCTGTGAATCCAGGAGGTTTAATGTCTCAACTAGAAGAATCTCTTACCAGAAATTCCCATGCATACAAAACTGGAGATGTGCTAGTTTTGATTATAATGCCCACATAAAGAATAGAAATGCATTCATTGTATGCAGAGGATTTGGGCTTATTTATTTTAATTTGTAAAAAATCCCAAATACTAGACCGGTATAGTCAATTTCATTATTTCTCCTGTCAATATGACTGCTCATGTGCTTAAAGTTACAGACTTATTTAAATCATTTGCTGGGCTGGGACTTCAGAGAGTCATTTTCTCCTGTTTGTGGGAGTCTTTCACGTGACAGCAAAGGAGAGAATGACATTTTTTTAAAAACAGGAAAATGTGATTCATAAAAAAACACAAAAATTGTGAGTGGAATTCAGGGGCAGGAGTGGGACATGAAAATACTTTTAACTTATTTCTTTAAAGTGTCTACATTTCAAACTGAAGGTGAGATGTAAATTACAGCCATTCTGTCATTTTTAACAAACAGCATACAAGCAGAAGGTCATCTTGGTGTTTTTCATGCTTCTTGAGAGGAATCTTTGCACAGAACATACTTTGTGAGGTGATTTGATTCTTAGGAAAACATAAAGTATTACAGTTAGACTTTCCTTATAATCCACTGGATATAGTTAGAAAATGGATCTAGGCCAACGTACTATATTGTGAATGAGTAAAGATTAGAGAGATACTAATGAGCCTCTTCTGCTGAGAGGATGCCCAGTAATAATCTCATTTTCAGTAAACGAGTTTATCTGCTGTTAAATTTATGCTGTGACAAGGCTGGAACTAAAAATAGTTCTCTATAAAATTTTAATTGGACCCTTGCTGCTTCTCAGGGAAAGACCATTGTAGAACAACTTGACTGGGAGTTAAAAAATGAAACTGATGCTTGGATCCTTAAAAGACAAGGCCATACCTGGACATGTTCTGCCATGAGCTGAAGGCACAGGACCAGAGTTTCATGAGCAAATCCCTCTGAAGCTCATGGGAGTTGTGCTGATCTTTCTGAAAGCAGTTTGTACATGATGTGAGGATGGTAGAGCTTAAGTATAATTAGCACAGTCCATTATCTTGCCTCTTGCATCAAGTAAACAACAATAGACTGCCTAAAAGATAATCTGCTATTGCAGGCATCTTTCCAGCTTCCTGCAAGAGGCTGAGCTCCCCCATTCCCACTGACTTCAGGGAGAATTTACTGTGCTCAGCATCTTGCAAGAAGTTCTCAGCAGTTTCAAATCAGGCTGTGTCATAACCATAGGGGTAGCCTAAAATTCCTCCTTACCTGTAAGGGGTTAAGAAGCTCAAATAACCTAGCTGGCACCTGACCAAAGGAACCAATGGGGACAAAAGATACTTTTAAATCGGGGGAGGGGATGGGGTGAGGCTTTTCTTTGGGTTCTTTGTTTCTGTGTTCATTCGCTCTTGGGACTAAGAGGGACTGGACATCAATCCATGTCCTCCAAACCCTTCTGAACCAGTCTCTCGTATTACAGAAATTGTAAGTACAGCCAGGCAAGGCATATTAGTTTATCTTTGTTTTCTCAACTTGTGAATTTTCCCTTTGCTGGGGGGAGGTTTATCCCTGTTTTGTTGTAACTTTGAAACTAAGGCTAGAGGGGGTTCCTCTGTGTTTTGTGCATCTTTTGTTACCCTGCAAAGTTATCTTCCAACCTGATTTTACAGAGGGGATTTTTACCTTTTCTTTTTTATTTTAAATAAAATTCTTCTTTTAAGAACTGATTGATTTTTTTTCAGTATCCAAAGATCCAGGGATTTGGGTCTGTGTTTACTTTGTAACCAATTGGTTAGGATATCATTCTCAAGCCTCCCCAGGAAAGGGGGCGTAAGGGTTTGGGGGGGATATTTTGGGGGAACAGGAACTCCAAGTGGTCCTTTCCCTGATTCTTTGTCTAAATCACTTGGTGGTGGCAGCATACTGTTCAAGGACAGGTGGAATTTGTGCCTTGGGGAAGTTTTTAGCTTAAGCTGGTAAAAATAAGCTTAGGAGGTCTTGCATGTGGGTCCCCACATCTGTACCCCAAAGTTCAGAGTGGGGAAGGAACCCTGACAGGCCACGTGCCCTTAAGAGAACCCAATAGCATAATCACATAGTACATGCATTCTTAACCAACATTTCTCAGACACTGCTCCAGCCCCACCCCCTCACCAGGCTGTGTTCCCATTGCCAGGCTAATGGAGGGCCTGATCCAATGCCCAGTGACACCATTGACTTTAGTGGGTGTTGGATCAGGCCCATAGTGCATAATTTATACACCTATTTCTGTTCAATTGCTAAGGGAAGTGTCACAAAGTAAAGGGAAGCCACCAGCCCCCTTCCTGCCTGGAGAAAGTGTTGAATAGATACCAAGGATGTCAACATATGAAATATGGGACTCATGGAGAAGGAGGAAGAATTTGATGGCACTTCATCTATTTAATTAGACTCTTTTGCCACTAACTTCCAACAAGCAAAGAGGTTGTTGACAGAGGACTTAGTCTGATTCTAATTCAAAGACCTTGCAAATACTATTGAACTTCTAAATCAATTGCTTGTATCCCTTCCCCTGATTGGATATGCAGTCTGAATATTTTATCTTGCAACCGCAAACACCAGTCAAGTGTGCCTGCCCATGCTTCAGACACTGTATAAACAGAGACAGACAATACTTTGTTGGGAATTCTTGATAATTCAATGTAACCATCTTACCTTCTTTACAGTGAAGCTTTTTGGGATAAGGACCATGCATTTTGTGTGTTTCTGCAGTGCCTTGCACATTGTAGGTACTAGCGGAAACAAGCAAACAACATTAATATTAACAGTAATATAATAAATTGATCTTAAAGTGTAAGCAGCTTAGTGCAGGAAATGTGACTTAATCTATACTTACAAAGCACTGTGTGAATGGTGTTATTTAATAATCATGATGATAATAATGCATGCACATTTGTGTGGTGCTTGTTCTGTTTATTTTTGTGTTGGCTGGGAGAATCTCTGAGCTCCTAGTCCTTGTGTATTAATATCACAGTATTAAAACAATAAAAAGTGCTTCCACATCGGCCCATCTCACACTGATTCTGCATTGAAGTCTTAATCCTGAATTTTTCTGTTCAATTCTGGCCCAGACAGCAGACTACTGTAACAGAAAAAAACTGGATTATGAGTTCACCAGAGAACTGAGCAAAGGAGAAACTGGACTGAGAGGGAAAGAATTCTTACGTCAATATATGTACTGAAAAGATAGGTAAAGTTATAGAGACAATGACTAGCCAGGCCCATTACTTAAAAAAATGAATGAATGTTCTTTTGTCACGTTGGCTTCATGATGAAAATCTTTGAGTGACTCAAGAATTATTTAAGGTTCAGAATACTGTAACACCTGCTCTATGCTTGTTTTAACAGCCTCTGAGTTTAATTGCTTATGTAACCTTGATTTGCATTTACTAGGATCAGAGAACTAGCAAGACCAAAGAAGCCTAAAGCAGCTTGGGAGAACTATAGTAGGTTAGTGGAAAAAGTACAAAGCTTACGCTGTATGGGCTTTGGGTTTCTTCTACACTGGTGAGCTGTCTCCATCTGACATCTGGGAAAGACAAAAGAATATGACTTTTTGTTTACAGTGCTAGAGAGTCTAAGGGTATGTCTACAGTACAAAATTATTTCGAAATTATTCTATTTGAATTTTCTGAAGTGACTTTATACATTCGGTCTTGTGTGTCCCCACTAAAGCGCGTGAATTCGGCGGAGTATGGCCACAGTACTGAGGCTAGCATTGAATGTTGGAGCAGTGCACCGTGGGTAGCTATCCCACAGTTCCCGCAGTCCTTGCTGCCCATTGGAATTCTGGGTTAAGCTCCCAGTGCATGATGGGTCAAAAACATTCTCGCAGGTGTTTCTGGGTGCGTGTCATCAGTTGCTCCTCCCTCCATGAAAGCTACATCAGACAATCGTTTTGTGCCTTTTTGGCGTGCAGACGCCATACTGCTTTCGGCAGATGGTGCAGTATGGTGCACCACTTCTCTTCTGGTACTATGAATCCACCTCGCATTTCCTCTCGTCTTTCTATGTAATCTCTATAAGTATCTACTCTTTCTCTTCCTCATCGACCGCTTTCGCTGCCAACTCTGCTCAGCCATCGTGAACTGAGCAGCACAGCTTCCACCGCCAACTCTGCTCTCCCGCTCTTGCCTCGCTACCAAGCTTCTCCATGTTGTCTGTCCTGGGCTCCCGTCTCCATGAAAGCTACAGAAGACAACCATTTCCCGCATTTTTCCGCTATCGTGAACTGAACAGCACCTCTTCCGCTGCCACTCTGCTCTCCTACGTTTCGCGCCCTTTTTCCAGGATTACCCATGCAGGCACCATAGTACGGCAAGCATGGAGCCCGCTCAGATCGCCGCTGCAGTTTTGGCCATTGTAAATACCTTGCGCATTATCCAGCAGTATGTGCAGTACCTGCAAAACCAGGCGAGGAAGTGACGGCAGCGCGATTACGATAGTGATGAGGACCGGGACACAGACGTTCCTAGAAGCACAGCATGTGGCGATTGGGAGATTATGGTGGTGTTGGGCCAGGTTCATGCCGTGGAACACCGATTCTGGGCCCGGGAAACAAGCACAGACTGGTGGGACCGCATAGTGTTGCAAGTATGGGATGATTCCCAGTGGCTGCGAAAGTTTCGTATGCGTAGGGCCACTGTCATGGAACTTTGTGACTTGCTGTCCCCTGCCCTGAAGCGCAAAGACACCAAAATGAGAGCAGCCCTCACAGTTGAGAAGCGAGTGGCCATCTCCCTGTGGAAGCTTGCAACACCCGACAGCTACCCGTCAGTTGGGAATCAGTTTGGAGTGGGCAAATGGAGCGGGGGACAGATAGCTCAGTGGTTTGAGCATTGGCCTGCTAAACCCAGGGTTGCAAGCTCAATCCTTGAGGGGGTCATTTAGGGATCTGGGGCAAAAATTGGGGATTGGTCCTGCTTTGAGCAGAGGGTTGGACTAGATGACCTCATAAGGTCCCTTCCAACCTTGGTATTCTATGATTCTATGAAATCTACTGTGGGGGCTGCTGTGATGCAAGTAGCTAACACAATCATTGACCAGCTGCTATCAAGGGTAGTGACTTTGGGAAATGTGCACGTCATAGTGGATGGCTTTAATGCACTGCGGCAGGGCAATAGACAGAATTCATATCCCTGACTTGACCCCGCAACACTGGGGCGGCCAGTATGTAAACCGCAAGGGGTACTTTTCAATGGTGCTGCAAGCACTGGTGGATCACAAGGGACGTTTCACCAACATCAACGTGGGATGGCCAGGAAAGGTGCATGATGCTCGCATCTTCAGGAACTCTGGTCTTTTTGAACAGCTGCAGGAAGGGACTTACTTCCCAGACCAGAAAATCACTGTTGGGGATGTTGCAATGCCTATAGTTATCCTCGGGGACCCAACCTATCCCTTAATGCCATGGCTCATGAAGCTGTACACAGGCACCCTGGACAGTAGTAAGGAACAGTTCAACTATAGGCTGAGCAAGTGCAGAATGGTGGTAGAATGTGCTTTTGGACATTTGAAAGTGCGCTGGCTCAGTTTACTGACTCGGTTAGACCTCAGCACAACCAATATTCCAATTGTAATTGCTGCTTGTTGTGTGCTCCACAATCTCTGTGAGAGTAAGGGGGAGACGTTTATGGTGGGTTCGGAAGTTGAGGCAACTCGCCTGGTGGCCAATTTCGCACAGCCAGACAACAGGGCGATTAGAAGAGCGCAGCAGAGCACGCTGCGCATCAGAGAAGCTTTGAAAGCCAGTTTCATGACTGGCCAGGGTACGGCATGACAGTTGTGTTTGTTTCTCTTCAAGTTACCTGTCCCCTATATATATGAAAGGAAATAAAGTCACAATTGTTTAAAAACCGTTCTTTATTATTTATTGCACAACACATTTAGAGAAATCAGAGGATAGACTGGGGAGGGGGGTACTGAGGGAAGGGGGTGGAGGAGGAGGGAAGGACAAGTCCGGAAAGCAAATCAAAATTTTGGATATGCCAGCTTTCTGCTGCTTGTGCAATCCTCTGGGGTTGAGTGTGTGGGTCCCCGCAGCCTCCCTCCCCCCCCCGCCCCGTGTTCTTGGGCATCTGGGTGAGGAGGCTATGGAACTTGGGGAGGAGGGAGGGCAGTTATACAGGGGCTGCAGTGGCAGTCTGTGGTCTACTGTCTTTCCCACATTAGATCCACCATACAGTGGAGCATGTCAGTTTGCTCCCCCGTGGGCTTGACCATAGCATCCTGCCTGCTCTCATCACGCGCGTCCCTCCTCTCTTTGTGTTCATTTAACGCTTTATGGGACTCTGCAATTGTTTGCCTCCACACATTCAGCTGGGCCCTGTCCGTGCGGGAGGACTGCATGAGTTCTGCGAACATGTCGTCCCAAGTTCGTTTTTTCTACCTTCTAATCTAGACCAGCCTCTGGGACGGAGTAGATAGGGGCTGCGTCGAAACATTTTCACCTGCGGGAGGAGAAAAAGGGAGGGTAGTATTTTAAAAGATACATTTTAGAGAACAAAGGGGACACTCTTTCTCAGCGAAACAAGCAATTCATAGTACACAGCACATGTTCTTTCTGTACAAGGTCGCATTTTGCCTCTTATGCTGAAGTGCCTGACACTTTGGTGTGAGTAAGCCATCACATGTGGCTGGGCAACAGAATTCAGCTTGAAGGCAGACATGGTAAGCCCTAGGGGCACACAGCGTTCTGCTTCTTCCGCATTCATTTCAATGCTTTCAAACTACCAGGCCCCCTTTCCCATAGCAAGCAATGCCTGGTGCGTTTGCCATATCAAAGGAGGGCCTGCGGGCTCTCTGGGATGATTGCTTCACACAACACCCCCCAGCTGCCCACACACCCCCACTGCATGGCTCCGATGAGGCTCTGAGCAGCGATGAGCCCTTTCAACTAAATGCGAACAGCCCAGCACGGCTGGGTTTCCCCCCACTGCGTGGCTCCGATCAGGCTCTCACTCACCAGAAGTGCCTTCTCCAGGGTCATATTCCAGGAGCCCGCCTTGGGAGTGGGGGGAGGCTATTGGGTCCAGTGTTAAGACTGGTTCCTGGCTAGGGGGGAAAACAGATTCCCCACTTGCCCCCTGTGTACTGTCCTCCTCCTCTTCATTCTCCAATAACTCATCCTTGTCGCTCCATGCAACTCCCCCCTTGCAGACATCCACAGACAGTGGTTGGGTAGTGGTGGCGTCACCCCCCATAATTGCATGCAGCTCACGATAGAAGCAGCATGTATGGGACTGTGACCCAGAGTGCCCGTTCGCCTCCCTGGCTTTTTGGTACGTTTGCCTGAGCTCCTTGATTTTTGAACGACACTGCTCTGTGTCCCTGGAGTAGCCTCTTTCTGTCATGGCCCTGGAGACTTCAGCGTAAGTATTTGCATTTTTTTTTTTTTTGGAATACAGTTCTGCCATAACAGATTTGTCTCCCCAAAATGTGATGACATCCAGTACCTCCCATTCGGACCATGCTGGAGCTAGTCTGCGAATCTGGGACTGCATGGTCTCTTGTGATGGTGGACTCTGCATGGTCGCCTGTGATAGTAGACTGTGCTGATGGTGACCAAACAGGAAATGAAATTCAAAAGTTCCTGGGGCTTTTACTGCCTACCTGGTTAGTGCGTCGGAGTTGAGAGTGTTGTCCAGAGTGGTCACAAGGGAGCATTCTGGGATAGCTCCCGGAGGCCAATAATGTTGAATTGTGTCCACGGTACCTGTAACCCAGAACTGTGATCTCGATTTTAGCGCTACTCCACTTGCTGAGGTGGAGTACAGAAATCAGATTAAAGAGCCCTTTAAATCAAAAAAACTCGTGTGGTCATGTGGACGGAATCAGTTTTATTTCAAATTAACTCGGCTAATTCCGAAATAACCACGTACTGTAGACCAGGCCAAAGTTCACCCACAGCAGCTGTGGTCAGGCTAAGACAATCCAGGGCCCTGAATATGTAGTGCCTACACGTTAATTTAGCTCCGGTTGTGGTCAGGATTACTGTAGTCCTCAAGTTTCACCTGCCATTTGGGTGGCTGTGCATTTTGCCAGTTCTTGTCATGCCTGGCCAGTTCTTGTTCCCCTGCACATTTTGGACAGTTGGGAGGAGAGCAAGGGGAGACTTATCAACCACCCTTACCAGTGTGTTTAAGGTCTGGGAGATGGAAGATGGCCTCTCCTGAAAGTGGACATGGCTGGGGATGGTGGGATGGAGCAGGTCATGCTGTTCCTCAGGAATGTCATTGACAGGGCTGCTCACATTGTGCAGCGACAATGGTTGAAACCAATAAACATGCACGTTGCTCCTCAGTTGTTTTGCAAATTTGGAAGAGCATCAGAGGCTCAATGCAAAGCTTAGTTTAGTGATCATCTAACCGTGAATTTTGTTTCCCTTTTATTCCCTGTTTTAACAGTAGGTTAGAATGGGGAAACCAGCAGACAATTTGGCCCCTCTCCCTGAGTGCTTTGACGGCTCAGCCAACGCCAAGAATTATGTCTCTGGCCAAACCCAAGAAAATTTTCGATGGTAACCTTCAGCGCAGGTTGGTTGTATTCAGGAGCGCTCTTCCTTCTGTTGGAAAACATTCACTAATGAATGCAACAGCTCAGGGTTTACTGATAATAATCAATACAAATAAAGACATGACAACTGTACAGAGGTGAATCTAGAACAGGAGAAGAAAGCAGAAGTTTCTGCACTTTCACATTATGACTGTAGTCCAATCCACCATGAACAGCTTCCCTCTGAGATCAGCTCAGCAGAGCTGCTACTGAGTAAAGCAGTTGTTCAGTTTTGCCATCTTAAGGTCTCTCTACGTTTGGCTGAGTTCTGCAATTTTCTGGATGAAAAGGGGCTGCAGAAGTGTAAAGCATTTATTATAAATGTCTCTACATAGAATGTTTTTTCAATGGCTCCCATCTATTTCATCTTTGTGGTTGTTCTGGTCACTAAATGTTGCTGAGATTTTCAACATAGGACTAATGATTCTGGGTGCCTCCATTTTCAGGTGGCCAATTTGAGACACTTTAAGGAGTCTCATTTTTTCAGAGGGCAGGTGCTCAGCACTTTCTGAAAATCAAGCCCCCCTTTTAAGGTTTTCTCAGGTTGAGCACCCAAACACAAGTCGGCAAATCACTGGTCACTTCTGAAAAATCCCGATTTTTCATAATAGAAAATCTTGGTTCTTCATAATATAGTCTCCTCCTAAATATATGTTTGTTCCAAAAACTGGGAGCAGGTTGATTTCCAAAGGGAAATTGGGAAGGTTAAATTGTATTTCAGTTTTAATTCAGGCTCCCTCCAAAACCTGGCAGGCAATACAGGGATTAGGTAGAAGGGTGGAGCCGCTGATGGGCTGTGAGAAGGGTATGACTCACGTAAAGGGAAGCTGTTGTTGCTGGAGCAACAATTTGTCATCTTAGAATTCCAGTGACACCAGGTTCAGTCTAGTGCCAATTTGATCTTGGTTTCCACATGGCGTGTGGCTTTGGAACGGAACGCCGGGTGTTGTATGACATTTGACTGGTGGTGGTTGTGTCTGTGTAATGTGCGTGGGTGTGGATTGTTACACCCTGGCCCCAATGCAAGGCCCTGTATCCTATGCAGCATTAGACCTGGATTTATGTGGCACTGGCCCCCGCCCAACCTATCACCCCTTCACTGTTCACCCATTTACTCAACTACCTGTCCCACGTGCACTGCCACTTCAAAGGCATAACGATCCAGCGGCTTGAGGGTAGAAGGAGCAGAGTCCTGCTGCATCATTCGTTAGCTGGTCTGCAGGGCCAGGTGGGAGGACTGCCTGGGCAGAAGCTCTGGACCTGCTGTCTACTCCCCCTTCCTTCTCCCCACCACTGTAAGAGCCCAGGGTTCTCTATAGTGACTTGCTAAGTTGCACAGGGTTGGCGCTGTCTTTGACCTCTCCATTTCCCCTGGTCTGCAGGCCCCTGTACCCAGTAGCCTTCAGCAAGCCACAACTGTCCTGTCTTGCACATGCTGTCTGATGCCCCATGGCTGAGACCCTTGGAAGCAAGGCCCTGTGTGCTTTCCTAGACCATAGCACTCTCTCCTTCATGGCCCTGTTGTTCCATGAGAAGAAGGATAATGCTAGATAATGGCATATGCATCCTTCAGCAAATCGTCTACATTGTGTAAATTCCCCCTGTGTTCAACAAACATCCCTGTGTCACATGCTGATGAAGAGAATGGAAAGATATATGAATTAATAGGGTTGAATTTGTAGCATGGAGTTTTGTTAACATACCAGACCGCGTGTGATGATATCAAAGAGGAGCCAGTACACCAAATGAGGGCATAGACGAGAGCACACTATTGTCCAAGGAATGTGGCTGTAAGGCAACAAATTAACCAACCCACTGCCAACAGCTTGCAAGAAGAAAACAGGCCCTAACAAGTGTTATTACTGAGCAGTGTTATTTAGTTCCTCTTTCAAAAGAGGATTGATCACAAAGCCATGTACATACTTAAAATGCCCATCTTGAGGTGTAGGTGAATGATTATTACCACTATTGGTTATATTGAGGTAATGAATCTTCAGTTTCATTAACATCTGCCAATTGTATTTGTCATAAAAAACCAATGGAAACTCCCTTCTCCAGATGATCATTGTTTTTCATAACTTATGGATTTGATGGAATAAGGCAAAGCCAGGGGACAAACTGGCCGTACGGACATGTAGTTCAAAGTTGTTCCAGGGGGACAGTGCCCAAATTTGCAGTTCTCTGGTAGCAGTTTCAATAAAGTCACAGAAGAATAAACAATATTTTTTACTTATCAGGTGCTAATAATTGAATTAAGGGACTTAATTATTGAATTAAGTCCCTTCCTAAAGATTTACTGTCCCCCATGCTTTGTAGATCCCAGGGGGATAACTGGAGATTTTTTAGCGGAAGGTTTCTCTAAGTGCTTATAAGTCTCAATTCATTTTTGAAATAATTACTGGAGGGGGTGGTTTTGGTGAGGAGACTAGGTCAAAGCTCTGTCAGGGTGTAGAGTAGATTTCTAGCCCCTGAGGAGCCATAACACCCATGAGAAAGTGTCTCTGCATTTCTTGTGCTGTTGAATATAATGCTCAGTAGCCAGAATAAGGATTGGGGATGTCATGACAATACAACTGTATTTGTTTCTCTCTTGCCATTGCCACTAGTTTCTTGTCTCTTTCCTACTCAGAGTTAATATAAAACACTGATTTACAAATACAAAACAAAATGCCAGTGTTAAGTAAAGTGGGTATAGTAGGTGGGGTGAGAATTACAGAGAAACAATTGGGAATCTGTACTACCGCATTGTAGTCCCATCTCCACCACTGGCCTTGAACAAACCTCGCTGTGTTTCATTTTCCCCATCCATACAGTGAGGATAATCATCCTGACTCCACCTGCCAAGGGGATTGTTATGAGGCTAAATTAATTCCATGCTTCTGAGACCCTGACATGAAAGGAGCTATAACAGTTCAATATGTTATTAAATGTTATACTTAGACTGATTCTAATTTACATGCTTCAGAGATATTGTGGGATTTGTATTATGAAGTAGTTTCTTAAAACTGCCCATAGAAAGGACTACATTTTCACACCCCCCACACACACACTCCTTTGTGCATGCAAGCAAGCAGGTATTTGCATGGCCAAATCAGGTAATCCCATGTGCAAGTACCCATTTGTTTATGCATTGTACCTAGTTTGAGTACAGAAATGTGGATTTTTGCATGTGGAATGTCTGTGTATGGATTTAAGTTATCCTGGTTTGGCCATGCATGCTTGTTGTCACTGTTTTAATGAGGTTATGGTCCTGGCTGACTCTCTTCATTACTTCTTCCATGACCTTCCCAAAGGCACCTCTTCCTGTACAGCTGTGGCCGGATGTCAGAGATCTGGCAGCGCCCACCGTTGATGGATTTAGCTTTACCGTCGCCTCGAATATTGAAGTTGGCAGAACCTAAAAAATACCAAACAGTGTACTTAAAACAAAGGTAAAAGCTCTTATTGTGCTACACATGTTTCAAGTGGGTTTTCAGCATAATGAGCATTCAAAAGCAGTTTGTCTGGTTGGAGTAGGAGCAAAACGAACAGAACCAAAAAAGGGGGAGAGCAGAGGTGCTGTGCTCTGTGTGGCACTTGCTGATGATCTGCAGCTAGCTGACTGCTGTCATCGTGTGGACTTGCCTCCTTCCAGCTGCCAAATTGGGTTGAAAGAAGCTAAGCATATAAGTTACACGCAGTGCTTTCCTCACATTGCCTGCATAGATGTGAATGGGAGGGCTGAAAGTTTCTGTATTTGTGTGGCCAACAAACTCCACACTTTGAAAATGATTGCGAACCATCCTAGAGAGCACATCATTATGTTATGATGACTCCAAGGGCAAAATAGGTGGTGTACTTGGAATAGGCAAGGGTTATAAATGTGAGACAAGGATACATTTACCATAAACACGTATTCATCTGATGAAAAGAATAGAACACTGGGTCATATTCAAAGCATAGTCCTGATGGAACAGACCCTCCATAGTACTGACCATAGGGTCTAAGAGAGTGCCTTTCTCTCTGGGCTTGGCTAGATTAGGAAAAGAGGTGAGGATAGGTCAGGCTTAGCTAACAAATATTAGCTGCCCCTGACTAGGGCAGGCTGAAAATAGTCAATCCAAACTGTTGGGTTTTTTTACATAAAAATGGGTTTTTGACAAAATGAAGTTTTTTGCAAAAAGCTTTCCACTGAAAAAAATGTATTGTTTTGCCAAAAACCAGAATGGCGGAAGTGGAAGTGTTTCAATTTGGAAATGTTGCAGTGGTGCCTCATGGGCATTGTAGTTCTGTTCCCTCGTGTCTCCATTCTTCTTTATCTACCAGGCGCCCTGGTAGGACTGCATCTCCCAAGGTGTACCATGGCCAAGGACTCCATGGTACACTGCCTCCCGCCTCCAAAAAGGGAGGTTTGGTGCAACCAAGGAGCCCAACTTGTGGAGGAGAAAGGGAGCAGGAGGCATCCTAACTACACCTCCCATGGGGTGCCGTGGCCACATTTCCATATAGAATTTTTTCAGTTTTGGACCAAAAAAATCTAATTATTCTGTGGAAAATTAGATGAAAATGAATGTTCTTTCCATGGGGAGACAACCTCCTTTTTTCCAAACAGCTCTTCCCCTGGCCTAATGTCCACTTCTTTTCCTTGTCTAGACAAACCCTGTGTGACCATAACCTCCCTTAGCAGCTGCATTCCTCAACATCTGTGCAGCTGTCAGGCTTGAGGGTGATGTTGGTGAGAGTGGGAGACATGGTGTGAGCAGGGCTGAGGAGATGAGTGACCACTAATCTGGCTGCCTTCAGAAGGACACGTGAAACTCACCTGTTTGGTATAACTTCCTCAAAGAGGAAGAGGTATAACTCACCTGTTTGATATAACTTCAAGCAAAGAGGAAGAGGAGGAAAATGAGGTGAAGAGAGGAAGGGGAGAAGGGCTAGTGGAGGGGGGGGCAGGGGTGGGTAGGGGGAGGAAAAAAGACGAAAAGGAAAGAAGAAAGGAAACTGCCTGACTTCCTCTGGGGAAGTAGGGAAACAAATTAAGCCCTGGGCTTGGTTATAACTCTTGGGGAGAGACAGATTCTGCTGTGATGGCCCCACTATCAAGCTCTGGGTAGACAGAAACCATCAGAAATGGTGAACCTGATCATAAGAATTCTCTGCTTTGGGTCCAGTTAGGGTAGCAGCTGGGGGACAGGTATAGAATTCTTAAGAGCTTTCCCCTGCAAAGTGCAGTCCTGAATGGCTTATCTGTTTTTCAGCACAGAGAGATGGGCTAACCAGGCTGCAAGTTATTTGCAGTGTAAAAAAAGGAAGGCCTTATTTATGGGGTCTCCCAAGAGAAGCAGAGGCAGAGTGTGCTAGGGAAACAGACAATCAAAAGTAGAAGGCAGTTTACTAGCAACTGTCCATCACCAACTTTGCAGCACCAGGTCGTACACTGCATGCACCTTTAAGCTGGGAGCTGGAGTCGTTAGGTGAAAGTCAATGGGATTTGGGCACCACTTTAGGTCTATTTCGAATGCCCATATTCCTTATTTTCAGCTGCTGCCTTTTGCTTCTTCACTGAGTGAAAATGCACCCCTTCCCCCATTTTGTTAAAAAATGTTCCCAGCCTTTGACCTGAAACATGGAGTGTGTCCCCCTTGCTTTGTGACGGGGAGAGGAATGAGATGGCAGGGTTTCCCCTCGTCCACACAGCAGCTCATTGTAATTCCCTGGCTCTTTTGATCTCATTTGCACAGTCACCCTAGTTCCCTTCGTTCATTTGACCACTGGAGTTCTGCACCAGAGCCGCTAAATATTCATGTACAAAGTGGCTTAGACCACATTTTGGTGTAGAGCTGATGGTTTTGCATCATGGCGAGGCACGCGGTGATGGAGGGTTTAGTAACGTAGGTAACAAAGAGAGCAACAAATCACTTTGCTTCCCAGTTCTGTAATGTGAGGCAATTCAGTCTCAGGGTGGAGCACCCCCGGTTCATCATGTGGACCCCAGATCCCAAGCCTCATGCCTGAGAGAACCCTGCTAATCTCCCAACCCCTGGGTCCCTCAACAGCCGGAAATAAAGGCTGCACTCAGCTATCACGTCAGTGGCTTTATGTGGGCAGGACAAACCCTGAAATAGCACAAGAGACCATTTGTGGGCCCGTGGTGAGTCTCTCATCCTGCTTCCAGCCAGAGCACGGAGTACTGAGTCCCCAGAGCCCAGACATAGAATCATAGAATATCAGGGTTGGAAGGGACCCCAGAAGGTCATCTAGTCCAACCCCCTGCTCGAAGCAGGACCAAATCCCAGTTAAATCATCCCAGCCAGGGCTTTGTCAAGCCTGACCTTAAAAACCTCTAAGGAAGGAGATTCTACCACCTCCCTAGGTAACGCATTCCAGTGTTTCACCACCCTCTTAGTGAAAAAGTTTTTCCTAATATCCAATCTAAACCTCCCCCACTGCAACTTGAGAATACAGATCAGCATTCACTAGCCCAAATAAGAGTCCATCTGACCTCCAGCTCCAGTCCCAGGACAGGCACCTCCTGCCCCTGGCAGCACAGGCCAGGGTCTTGGTTGGGTGTGAGCTGGGAGGGTGAATCCTGGTTTCTGCTGCATTGCCTGGTGTCCATCTCCGTGTCACTGGGCTCCTCGCTGGATCCAGGTTGTGCCTTCAGCCTTGCTGTGCCCATGCCCCCAACCTGCTCCCTGGGCTGACCCCCAGCCTGCAGGGCCAGGCTGTACATGGTCCTGCTCCCTCCCGCAGCAACATGTGCTCCCCACCTAACCCCACAGTCTTCTCCAGCCCCACCCCTGTGCCCACCGATCGGCCCACAGCCTGCCAGGGCTGCAGGCAGAGCTCCTGCTCTGGAGTGGCATTCCCCTCCTCCAGTGGGGAGTAGGTTGGCTTCAGGGAGTCAAGCCAGCCATCCCTTAGCCAGCAGAGCTCTGGGGCCAGCTCCCCTCTCCGCCCCCCCAATTCAATCAGGGCTGGTGGGGTAGGACTAGACCTTTCACACTGGACCCATGCCCATGTGGAGTGGGGGCGCCACACCCAGCTCACTGCTTAGCAGGGTGACGGGTCCCTCAAGCACACACCTACTCCAGATATTTTCATGTACTCCTTAAGTTACATTGTCTCTATGGGTTTGGTTTTATTTACACCAGGCATTAAATGAAAACCAGTTTTAGGGCTGGTTGTTACAGCATTACCACCACAATCCTTGTAGACAGACAACTACAATAATTCTGCAACAGTGTGTCTAGTTTAATTCAAATAAACAAACCTATTCTGGGAACGCCCTGAAGCTGTGTCCATATTGCATGTTTGTGTTTTTCTCTAGGCCTCGTAGTTCTCCGGAGTGGCCCGTGCCAACAGCTGCGCTCACCTGTGAGGCTTCCCAGCGAGTTCAAGAACTTGCCTGTCCGAAATCAGTGCATCCAGGCTTCAAGCTAGACAGAAAGGTGATGGTGATGTTCAGCCAAACTGGGAAAGGGGAACCATTGCTCCTCCCTGTATCAGCTTTCAGCAACAGATTAACTTTGGTTGCTGCAGCCCGAGGTTAGCCCCGGAATAGACACGATGGCCTGTTTGCACTACAGAAACAGCTGGATGGTTCCACCAGTTCAGGAGATGGGGCAGAAGTTGCTTGATATGCTTTTTAATTACTAGGTTAAGAAAGTTTGCCAGACCTGCCGTGGCTGCTTAGCCATACTAACTGATGCCATTTTTAAAGCATCTTTTTTCTTGTATTTTAGTGGTGACTTAAATGGTGGCCCATTTGCATGATGTCTTTTTTTTTATTGCTTTGGTTGGTTGATAAAGATAATAGGGGTGACAGAATACACGTAAACTTCTGTAAGGGTTTTGACTTGGTACTGCATGACATTTTGGTTAAAAAAAATATGATACAAAATTAACATGGCACACATTAAATTGATTAAAACTGGCTAACTGATAGGTCTCACACTGTAACTGTAAAAGGGGAGTCATCACTCTTTCCTGTATACAGCTTGGGCCTTTGATCTTGGCCTCATGTAACAGGTGAAACAAAAGCCCGCTCCTCAGCGTGGAGCTTCAAAAAGCTTGGTTTTTGCGTAACTGGAGACAGGGAATTTACATTCACCTCCCCCGAGGCATTTCCCAGGAAATCCCCTTCACAGTTGCCCATTCTCATCTGGCACATTGTTCAGTATAGTCCTTTGATCATTCATGCCTCACATCACAGCTGCCCCGCCCCCAGAGAGGTTACATTATATTCTGCCCCACGATAATAACCTTTGCATTTAATATAATGGACCGCAAAGATACTTAAACTTAATTCAGTAAGGTCTTCCAAGGATATTGCAGGCCATTGCCACATCTCGCACTATTACAACACAGGGAGAAACCTACTTCTGCATTTTGCTCACATAGCTTCTGTGAATTTTATTTGGGTGTAGTTCAGTGATTTCATTTCATTTCATTTCAATCAGCTGGCTAAAATAAAAAAAAAATAACAACCATGAATCCCATTAGCCACAAAAATCTGGATGCTTTGTGCAATAGGTGGATTGTTGATGGTCAATATATTTCTTTGTCACAGTATTTCCTGTCGTAGCTGAAAAATAGATGTATTCTAGGAAAGCAATGCCTCCCTCTCTTTAGTGACTTCTGTTGTGTAGCAGTAGGGCTGTCTGGGAGGGAACATGTTGTATATCCAGTTTATATTTTTGGATGCAGGTGTTTGCCTACTTCATGCCAGCTGTGAATGCCAAGAACAACATTTGGCTGAAATGACAGATCCCATTCTCTCTATTTCCCAGATACAATGTGGCCAGCAAAAGAAGACAAGTACAATACTCATGTCCCCAAAAGTCCCCTGGCTGATCTTGCAAAACTCCACTTGCTAAATTGTCAAACAAGCTTCTTTGTGCTTCCTCCCATGCTGTACCTCCCTCTTGGGAGGAGCTCCCCTAAATACCCACCAAGCCACCTCACTGGCATCCTGCACCGCCCTCCTTTTCCATGAAGCATACAAAAAAACCTGACAAAGGTCAGGTCGCTGGTGTGCTAAGCCCACTGTCCATGATGCTGACCTGTATTGTCTCTTTGTTTCCTTGCACTCACCCGTCTGTCTGTGTCCATCTGTTGTCTCTTGTCTTACACTTAGATTAAGTCTTTTTGTTCTATGTTTGTACAGTACCTAGCACAATGGGGTCCTGGTCCATGACTGGGCCTCCTCAGTGTTACCACAACGTATAGTTATAAATGTAGTTAGATGTTTGCCTGTGTTTGTTTCCTCTGTATGCTGTCAAAGCTCTGCACAGGTAGCTGGCATAGCAGACCTTGAGCAAACCGCCCAATGACCACAAGATCCATCACGGTGCAAAGGCACTTGGTCGGGTTTATTGTCAATCAAGCATGGTCCTAGCTACCCGGATCAGTGTCTAGTTACATTAGCACATGTATGCCCCGTGGTTATGGACCAGGTCAATGAATGGCGGGACTTTCCACTATCCCCTTGGCTGACCAAAGACACTTCCTCCAAGACTCCATTTTATACCTCAATGCAAACAAGTTACGTATTGCCCCGCTGACGTAGTTAGGTACCACCCATCACCTTGTACACGTTGGTTCGATCAAAACATCTCTGTCCATCATGCTGTCATCCTGACCTTATCTTTAAGATGGGTCAGCGTGTTCCTGTTCTCGTTAGGGAATGTGCTGGTATTGAGGTGCTGTTCCGGTACCACCCTTCTGGAATGTGTTTGTGTGAGTGTCCTGTGCCTAGCACCTCTTCGGAATGTGTGTTTCTGCAATATTAGTCCTGTTCTTGCCAGATTCAGTGAAGCCTAGCTCACAGCCTGACTTTGATCACAACTTTAGCCCAGGCCTCAGGCCTTATTCCAGGCTTCTGATACAAGGGCTTATGTCTCAGACTCTCTTTCTACCACATGCCCCCACTTTTTCTCTTTTTATGGGGAGGATGTTCACCCATTGATTGTCCTGGAAAAGCATAATTCATGGACTGAAGATGACCCATTGGACTAAACAGTGTTATGTAGTCACCTTACTTTACCATCCACACATTCATGCCTCATCTGTCCCATAATCTGCACATTCCCTCGTACGACTGATAGACAGATTTTATTTTTTAATTGTTTTTAGTTCCTTATGGTGGACCTGGGAGTGTTAGGCGTGGGACCATGACTGATGTGTGGGGTTTAGAGTTGTTTTTTGATAACTTTTGGGTGACATGAGAAGGCCTTTCTACTTAATTGGTGATAGATGAGAAGGGCTTTGGTCACGGTTATAAGTGTATTGTGCTTATACTTTATAGAGTAGTACAGGTTTATAGATGGATATATATGAGGGATTACACGATTATTTTCTTGAATAGATGAATACCAGATATATTCCCGATAAGCCCTGCTAGAAGGAAAAGGTGGGGAGAACTAATGCACCAGGCTTTAAAGAGTCCCTTGCAGGCTGTAGCGCTTGCAGGTGGATTTTGTGGGGCCATTGCTCACCACACTGAGAAAGAACAGATTTTTATTTGTAGAGGCATTTCCCACCAGGAAGGAAGATAGCCCTGCAGCTGCTAAAATGCTGGTGACGGAAGTGTTCCCCAAATGGGGACTACCACACAGTATTGATTCTGATAATGGACCTGCATTCATTGGGGAAGTATTCCAGAGCACGGGTACATGGGCTGGTATTCCCCTACCTTTGCACATTCCCTACCATCCTCTGAGGGCAGGTGGAAAGAATGAACAAGTCTCTTAAAATTGAATTATCCAAAGCGTGCAGTGAGTTGGGAACAAATTGGGATATGGTGCTACCATGGGTTCATGTGAGAATCCGGAGCTGTCCAAATTGCACCGGATTTAGCCCTTCTGAGGTGCTCTTTGGCAGACCGATGCATGGCTGGAGAAACTTGCTATACCCCCCAGATTGGGAAACTGTAAAAGCAATGGCAACAACAATCAGGATAAACAATCTTAAACACTGGTTGGGTATGGTCCAAGGGGCCGCTGCAGCATAACAAGCCGCAGAACAGCAAAAAATGAATCAAGCATTTGATGAAAAGAGTGATATTAAGCAATGGCAAATTGGAAGCCAAGTAATGGTTAAAAGTGACCCAGCACCTATTGTCATGTTTCCCCATTTTCTTTTTTAAAATTCACATGGGGCCCCCCTTGCTGGCAATTCATCGGGTCCAAATTTCATCAAACTTTGTGGGAATTTGCAGGGTAGGTATTAGAGGGTTCCCTAACTCATAGCTTTCTGCCAAGTTAGATCGTGATTCCTACAGAGGGCAGCTCATTTACTTAACAGATCAGTGGTTGGGGTCCCCAGTGTAGTTAGACGTTTGGTTGCGTGTGTTTCCTCCATATGCCATCCCAGCTCTGCGCAGGTAGCTGGCACAGCAGACCTCGAGCAGAATGCTCAATGACCACAAGATCCGTCAAGGTGGGAAGGCACTTGGTCAGGTTTATTGTCAATGAAGCACAGTCCTAACCCCCCAGATCAATGTCTACAGTTATACTAGCACATGTATGCCCATGACAATGGATGCAGCTCAGTGAATGCCAGGTGGCTTTACCTTCCCGGGAGTCCTGTCAGCCCCCTCTCTTCGAGTCCAATAGGCCTCGGTTCAAACCAGGTGTACGAAGTAGGTGCCTGACATCAGACCTTCCATCCTCTCCTCCACCACACTGCCAGGTCCTCTACTGTGGGGGCCAGAGCTGGCTGGGATGTGATCAAGCCGCACACACAGCGAGAGGGGTGAGAGCAGTGCTCACAGCTGGAGAGGAGCAGGAAGCCTGCTGCAGCCTGCCTGGAGACATGGCCAGAAAGGTTAGATGCTGAGGGTAAAGTGCAGGACAAGAGAGTAGGACCCAGGGGAAGAGTAGCAGGATCGAAGTCTGTGAGGCTCTGGGAAAGTAATACAGTACAGCGGTTGGTGGACCAGAAAGAGCTTGGCATTGTGGTGGAGAGGCGAGTGGAAAGGCTGATGTCAGGACAAGTACCTTGTACATCTGGTGAGAAATGGCTTTACCGTACTTGGATCCCCTGGGGCCCATTGGGCCTGCTGATGCACTTTTCCCAGGCCCAGTAACCCCTGGCTGCAGGCCTGCAGACTAAGCAGTTCCATGCCATCTATACTGTGTGAAGTGTTTTATTCCCCCCTTGCTTCTCTTGCCTTACAGATTAGTGTGTGCCCAAAATAGCTTATGCCCAAATAAATCTGTTAGTCTTTAATGTGCCACTGGACTCCTCGTTGCTTTTGTGGATACAGACTAACATGGCTCTGATAGATTAGCCTTTGTGTGCCTGGGGCACCCCTGGCGAGTTTCCATTGAGCAGGTTGGCTGGCTACCAGGTACACTCGCACACACAAACTTTGGAAGGACTTCCCCTTTTCTCTCTTCACTTATAATCCCTGTATTCTCCTCCTATGGTTGCTGTTTATCCACCCTTGAGCACAGAATTGTGAACGCACCACTGTAACCATTATCTAAGGTCCTTCCTTTCCATTGCCTGTGGCTCCAGCAGTTCTGTGAGGTCCTCGGTCCATCTGTTGTTTCCTCTCATAAAGAAGGCCAACACCCTGACTTCCAAACAGCATTCAGTGGGGCTTGGTTTGTGGAGTCAGAGTGGCATTTCCAGGGCCCATTGATTTCAATGGGATTTGTGCTCCTCAACCACTTAGGCACTTTTGAAACTCCCACCCTAAAAGGTTTCAGAGTAGCAGCCACGTTAGTCTGTATTCGCAAAAAGAAAAGGAGTACTTGTGGCACCTTAGAGACTAACCAATTTATTTGAGCATAAGCATAAGTTTTTCCACTGAATGCATCCGATGAAATGAGCTGTAGCTCATGAAAGCTTATGCTCAAATAAATTGGTTAGTCTCTAAGGTGCCACTAGTACTCCTTTTCGTTTTGCAAATACAGACTAACACGGCTGCTACTCTGAAACCTAACAGACCTGTGTACTGGTTTATTTGTCCTCTGTAGGTTGAAACACAAATTGCAGACACTGCAAGGATGACTCTCACCCCTCCAAGAACACAACGTCTTGCCCAGCCGAAGATTCAGAAGAATACTTTGTGCTACGACCGGGGAAGTCCCGAGTCCACGATCCGCCCAGTAAGGCAAAGTGTCTGCAGCTCCTTGTCGTGGAGGGGCTTCCTCTCTATTGACGGGCTGTCACTGGTCTCCCTTAGATGACAAAGCAGACAATGCTTATGAATTCATAGAATCATAGAATATCAGGGTTGGAAAGGACCTCAGGAGGTCATCTAGTCCAACCCCCTGCTCAAAGCAGGACCAATCCCCAATTAAATCATCCCAACCAGGGCTTTGTCAAGCCTGACCTTAAAAACTTCTAAGGAAGGAGATTCCACCACCTCCCTAGGTAACGCATTCCAGTGTTTCACCACCCTCCTAGTGAAAAAGTTTTTCCTAATATCCAACCTAAACCTCCCCCACTGCAACTTGAGACCATTACTCCTTGTCCTGTCCTCTTCTACCACTGAGAATAGTCTAGAACCATCCTCTCTGGAACCACCTCTCAGGTAGTTGAAAGCAGCTATCAAATCCCCCCTCATTCTTCTCTTCTGCAAACTAAACAATCCCAGTTCCCTCAGCCTCTCCTCATAAGTCATGTGTTCCAGACCCCTAATCATTTTTGTTGCCCTTCGCTGGACTCTCTCCAATTTATCCACATCCTTGTAGTGTGGGGCCCAAAACTGGACACACTACTCCAGATGAGGCCTACTTCAGGATTGATTCAGTGCTTCAGGATTGATTCCTTGAGGACCTGCTCCATGATTTTTCCGGGGACTGAGGTGAGGCTGACTGGCCTGTAGTTCCCAGGATCCTCCTTCTTCCCTTTTTTAAATATTGGCACTACATTAGCCTTTTTCCAGTCATCAGGGACTTCCCCCATTCGCCACGAGTTTTCAAAGATAACACACTACTCCATGGCAGCCCAGCAGGAGGCCACCCAGGTTCAGGCAATGGCACAACAGGAGTCTATGCGGCTACAGCAGGAAACCAATCAATTATTGATGAGCCAGGCGACCCAAGATCGTGCCCTCTTGAGAGAGGCGGTGGACCAGCTGAAGATCCTCGCCACCCAGGCCCAGGGGTCTGACAGGACGCTAACCCTGAGGGCCACTGCTTATCTGCCAAAGATGACGTCAGGAGATGACATAGAGGCATATCTCCTCTCATTCGAAAGGACTGCTCAGTGTGAGGAGTGGCCCCAGGAGCAGTGGGCCAGCATTCTCACCCCTTTTTTTTTGTGTGGAGAGGCCCAGAAGGCCTACTTTGACTTGCCTGCCACGGATGCCACTGACTATACCTGTCTGAAGGCAGAGATCCTAGCACGATCAGGGGTAATGGCAGCGGTAAGGGCCCAGAGGTTCCATGAGTGGAAATACCAGGAGAACAAACCCCTGAGGTCTGAGCTATTCGACCTCATACACCTCGCATTGAAGTGGTTACAGCCCGAGGTGTGCAGGCCAGAGGAGATTTTGGAGACCCTGGTCAAAGACCATTACATGCGGGGACTGCCGCCAGATCTCGGCAAATGGGTAGGCCAGAACGATCCTTCCACGTACGAGATGATCACGCTGATAGAAAGACAGATGACAGCCAGGGAACTGACCCGACTCCCCAAGGAAGGCCCCTTTCGAAGCAAGCACCCGACCCCAACCCTGGAAGGTTGGGCAGCCAAACCCCCAGGGAGTCCTAGGTGGAAGGGGGGGGGGGGCTGAAAACCAGCAGGGACCCCAGAAGGAAGGGATTGGCCTGAGTGGGGAGAACCCCAGGACTAAACCCCCTAGCCCCCGGGATAGGGGAGTGATTAAAAGCAATTATAGATGTTATGCATGTGGGGAGTGGGGACACATAGCAGCACAGTGTCCCAGCACCGAGGAGCCTATGCAATGTAACTTGGGGGATTGGGAGGTCCCATGCTCCCTTATCCACCTCGCGGGGGTCGCATTAGCCCCGCATAATTACACCAGGCCAGTGAGGATAAATGGAGCACAGACTACAGAGCTTGTGGACTCTGGGAGTGCTATCACCATTATATCGGGGAAGCTGGTAAAAAGTAGTCAGATGCTACAAGCCAAATGCATAGCAGTGACGTGTGTGCATGGGGCCATGAGCCATTACCCCACCATCCCAGGGGAGATAGAGGTTCAGGGAAACCCCATTGAGGTGACCGTGGGCGTAGTTCCTAAACTCCCATATCCTGTAGTCATTGGGAGGGACTATCCAGGGTTTGATAATTTACTCCCCCCGGAGAGGCTGGAGGGAGGTGGGGATCCTGAGACAGCAACTTGTCACTGGGGGAATGTCAACACCCGATGTTCGCTGAGATTTCTCAAGATCTGTTCTCAGCCACCCGAAAGACGCAGAAGACAAAAAAAGAGAGGAAGGCTGCGAAGGCCTAGGGAACCCGGATCCTGACCCAGGGCCAGAAGACCTCCCTAGTAGGCAGATGGACGCGAGCAGCCAACAGAGAAACTTCCATCACAGAAGGTGAGCCAGAGGCTGCCCCCAGCCATGACGGCGGCGAGCAGTTGGAAGAAGCAGAAGCCGGCCCCTGGGAGCTTAGGCAGGTTAGTCCTGGGAGAGAGACTTTTGGGCGGGACCAGGCGGAGGACCCCAGATATGATAACGCCAGGAAAGAGGTGGCTGAGATCGATGGGATACCCGTGGATGGGAAGGTCCGGGGTCCCGGACCTTACTTTATAGTGAAGAAAGATCTCCTGTACCGCATGGTGCAAATGCAGGAGCAAGAGATGCAACAACTTCTGGTGCCACAAAAACATCAAAAAGCCATATTGAGTCTCACCCACAGTCACCTGTTTGGAGGACACCTAGGGGTCGAGAAAACCCAGGCACAGATCCTGCGGAGGTTCTTCTGGCCAGGAGTACATGAAGATGTCCAGCGATACTGCACCTCTTGTCCGGAGTGTCAGTTACATAGCCCTCACCCACACTTGCGGGCTCCTTTGATACCTCTTCCAATAATAGAGGTTCCTTTCGAACAGATAGCCATGGATCTGGTAGGGCCCCTAGAGAAGACAGCTAGGGGTCACCAACATGTGCTTGTACTGGACTATGCAACCTGGTACCCTGAAGCTGTTCCCCTACACAACACAGCTTCCAAGACAATAGCTAAGGAGCTAGTACAGATCTTTGCCCGGGTTGGGCTACCCAAGGAGATATTGACTGATCAAGGGACACCTTTCGTGTCCAAGTTGATGAAAGATCTCTGTTCATTGAATCATAGAATCATAGAATATCAGGGTTGGAAGGGACCCCAGAAGGTCATCTAGTCCAACCCCCTGCTCGAAGCAGGACCAATTCCCAGTTAAATCATCCCAGCCAGGGCTTTGTCAAGCCTGACCTTAAAAACCTCTAAGGAAGGAGATTCTACCACCTCCCTAGGTAACGCATTCCAGTGTTTCACCACCCTCTTAGTGAAAAAGTTTTTCCTAATATCCAATCTAAACCTCCCCCACTGCAACTTGAGACCATTACTCCTCGTTCTGTCATCTGCTATCATTGAGAACAGTCTAGAGCCATCCTCTTTGGAACCCCCTTTCAGGTAGTTGAAAGCAGCTATCAAATCCCCCCTCACTCTTCTCTTCTGCAGGCTAAACAATCCCAGCTCCCTCAGCCTCTCCTCATAAGTCATGTGTTCCAGACCCCAATCATTTTTGTTGCCCTTCGCTGGACTCTCTCCAATTTATCCACATCCTTCTTGTAGTGTGGGGCCCAAAACTGGACACAGTACTCCAGATGAGGCCTCACCAATGTCGAATAGAGGGGAACGATCACGTCCCTCGATCTGCTCGCTATGCCCCTACTTATACATCCCAAAATGCCATTGGCCTTCTTGGCAACAAGGGCACACTGCTGACTCATATCCAGCTTCTCGTCCACTGTCACCCCTAGGTCCTTTTCCGCAGAACTGCTGCCTAGCCATTCGGTCCCTAGTCTGTAGCTGTGCATTGGGTTCTTCCGTCCTAAGTGCAGGACCCTGCACTTATCCTTATTGAACCTCATCAGATTTCTTTTGGCCCAATCCTCCAATTTGTCTAGGTCCTTCTGTATCCTATCCCTCCCCTCCAGCGTATCTACCACTCCTCCCAGTTTAGTATCATCTGCAAATTTGCTGAGAGTGCAATCCACACCATCCTCCAGATCATTTATGAAGATATTGAACAAAACCGGCCCCAGGACCGACCCTTGGGGCACTCCACTTGATACCGGCTGCCAACTAGACATGGAGCCATTGATCACTACCCGTTGAGCCCGACAATCTAGCCAGCTTTCTACCCACCTTATAGTGCATTCATCCAGCCCATACTTCCTTAACTTGCTGACAAGAATACTGTGGGATATGGAGGATATTGCTCCATATACAAGCCCTACGGACCTCTGTATACCACCCGCAAACAGATGGCCTTGTGGAAAGGTTCAATAGGACCCTCAAGGCCATGATCAGGAAAGTGGTGAGCCGGGATGGGAAAGATTGGGATACCCTATTGCCTTACCTCATGTTCGCCATCCGGGAGGTTCTGCAAGCCTCCACGGGTTTCTCTCTATTCGAACTACTATAGGGGTGCCACCCTCAGGGTATATTGGATATAGCCAGAGAAGCCTGGGAAGAGGAGCCAAATCCCGGAAGGAACATAGTTGAGCATGTACTGCAGATGAGAGATCGGATAGCCCGAGTTATGCCCATGTACGGGAACACTTGGAGAGAGCACAGGAGACCCAACGAACCCATTATAACCACCAAGCGAAGCTTCGACAGTTCCAACCAGGGGATCGGGTGATGGTACTGGTGCCCACAGCAGAAAGTAAACTGTTGGCCCCGTGGCAGGGACACCAGGTGGTTCTTATCCCTCCAACCATTCCAGTTCCGCATATGGCACAGGGGTGGATGCCACCATGGCAACGCTTATGGTCTGTCACGAGCATACTGCCTGGCGTCCCAAGTTGCCCAACTCTATGGTATTGAGCAGAGGAGGGGATATGTGACGGGGCAAGGCCAGATGGCTATAGAAAAGTAGTGGGAGATAAATATATTAGCTCCAGGCTAAACAAATCCCTGGTACCAGGATAAGTGAAATGGCAGCTGCTCCAGGTCAGTTAAGACACCTGGGGCCAATTAAGAACTTTCCAGAAGGCAGGGAGAAGGCTAGGTTGATTGGGACACCTGAAGCCAATCAGGGGCTGGCTGAAACTAGTTAAAAGCCTCCCAGTCAGTCAGATGGGTGTGGATGTCAGGAGCTGTGGGAGGAAGTTGCGCTGTTGGAGAGACTGAGTAGTACACACCATATCAGACACAAGGAAGGAGGCCCTGAGGTAAGGGTGAAGTGGAGCTTGAGGAAGTGAGGGCTGCTGTGGGGGAAGTAGCCCAGGGAATTGTACATGTCATGTTTCTAAAAGGTCAGCTACCATAGCTGATGCTATTAGGATCCCTGGGCTGGAGCCTGGAGTAGAGGGTGAGCCTGGGCTTCTCCCCCCGACCTTTGCCCCCTGATTAATCACTGATACTGGGAGAGAACAGAGACTGTGCAAGGAAGGATAACTTCTCCTCACCTCCCTCGCTGGCTTATGATGCAAATGGCTCAGTAGACTGTGACCCTTGTCTCTAGAGAGAGAAGGGTTATGTGGAGTGTCACAGTGAGCCTCTGAGGCTAGCGAAATCTGCCAGGAAACACGGGACCCATGGAGGCAAGGACAGAGATTTGTCACAATATATATATACATACAGAGAACATAAAAAGGTGGAGTAAGAGGCTAATTAATTAAGATGAGCTATTATCAGCAGGAGAAAAAAACTTTTGTAGTGATAATCGAGATGGCCCACTTAGACAGTTGACAGGAAGCTGTGAGGATACTTAACATGGGGAAATAGATTCAATATGTGTAATGACCCAGCCACTCCCAGTCTCGATTCAAACCCAAGTTAATGGTATCTAGTTTGCACATTAATTCAAGCTCAGCAGTTTCTCATTGGAGTCTATTTTTGAAGCTTTTCTGGCCACCTTTAAATCTGTTCTGAGTGGCCAGAGAGGTTGAAGTGTTCTCCTACCGGTTTTTGAATATTATGATTCCTGATGTCAGATTTGTGTCCATTTATTCTTTTGCACAGAGACTGTCTGGTTTGGCCAATGTACATGGGGGGAGGGATAGCTCAGTGGTTTGAGCATTGGCCTGCTAAACCCAGGGTTGTGAGTTCAATCCTTGAGGGGGCCATTTAGGGATCTGGGGCAAAAATTGGGGATGGGTCCTGCTTTGAGCAGCAGGTTGGACTAGATGACCTCCTGAGGTCCCTTCCAATCCTGGTATTCTATGATTCTATGATTGCTGGCACATGATGGCATATATCACATTGGTAGATGTGCAGGCGAACAAGCCCCTGATGGTGTGGCTAATGTGATTAGGTCCTATGATGGTGTCACTTGAATAAATATGCGGACAGAGTTGGCATTGGGCTTTGTTGCAAGGATAGGTTCCTGGGTTAGTGTTTTTGCTGTGTGGTTGCTGGAGAGTATTAGCTTCAGGTAGACTAACACGGCTGCTACTCTGAAACCTGTCATAGTATGTCAGAAGCAGCTCCGGGAATAGATCCTGTGTCTCCTGGTTCCTAGCCCTATTCATTGGACAATGCTGCTTTCCTTATTTTCTCTTGTCTCCTTCCCACCCTCTACTCCTCTTGTGGGAGTTATCTAACGTAGCTCTTTGGACCAAGGGCCTCTCTTCTCACTTCACCGTGCACACCTATGGCTCTCTCTCCAGATATGACCACTCTAGTGAGCTCTCCTGCTAGGGTTGCCAACCCTCCCCATTTCGCCACGAGTCTCCCAGAATTAGTTTCTAACACCCGGAGGCTGCTGAAGCCAAACCGGGAGATTTTAGGCCGCTAAAAGTCTGGTGGTACAGTGGGGTAAAGGCAGGCTCCCTGCCTGCCCTGGTCCTGTGCCGCTCCCGGAAGCAGTCGGCACATCCTTGTGGCCCCTGGGGGGTGGGAAAGGCCAGGGGATCTCTGCGTGCTGCCCCCGCCCCGAACACCAACTCCGCAGCTCCCATTGGCTGGGAACTGTGGGCGGAGGCAGAGTGCAGAGCCGTCTTCCCCCTCCCCACCAGGGGCCACAGGGACGTGCTGCTTCTGAGCCTGCCTTAGCCCCACTGCATCGCCTCCCAGAAGCCACCTGAGGTAAACGCTACCTGGCCGGAGATGGCACCCCTCGCCCCCTCCCGAACCCCAAGCCCCTGCCCCAGCCGTGAGCCCCTTCCTGCACCCAAACTCCCTCCCAGAGTCCAGACCCCCTCCTGCATGCCAACCCCCTACCCCAACCCAGAGCCCCCTTTTTTGCACCCAAGCTCCCTCCCAGAACTTGCACCCCTCACCCCCTCCTGCACCCCAACCCCCTGCCCCAGGCTCAGCCCGGAGCCCCCTCCCACACTCTGAACCCCTCAGCCCCAGCTCGCACCCCTTCCCGCACCCCAACTCCCTGCTCCAGCCTGGTGAAAGTGAGTGAGGGTGGGGGAGAGCGAGTGACAAAGGGAGGGGGGATGGAGTGAGCAGGGCGTGGCATCAGAAAAGGTGCAGGGCGGTGGGGCCTTGAGGCAGGGGTGGGGTAGGGGCAGAGCAAGGGTGTTTGGGTTTGTGTAATTAGACAGTTGGCAACCCTATCTCGTGCTGTGAGAACGGAATTGGTAGCGGGAGAGGCAGCTAGGAGAGATGGATTCCCAGCTGGGCTGGGGAAGCGGGCTAGCTTTGATATGGATACTTTAGCACTGTTTAGGGGGGGGCTCTCTGGCGGGTGTCAGGCATCTCCACTCTGCCCACCCTTGTTCAGTGCGTGCGTGTGAGGAGCCAGTGGGAGGCTCAGTGCAGAGCTGTATCTGCAGCACCTGCAGTATGCCGAAGGGTCAAGCGACCCTCCCCAGCGTCCAGTGCCCCCAGCAGGCAGCCGGCCCGGGCGGGGAGAGGAGGGACAGGCCCAGAGCCTCTCCTCCTCCAGCCTCGCTGCCTGCCTGGGACGCTGCCCGGCGCAGCGCAGCAGCTGCCTGGAGAGCGCGCGGCTGTGACAGCAGCTGGCTGCCCCCTGCGCAGCCTCAGCCCCTGGGGGCGCTCCGGCTCTCTCAGCTGCTGTCCCCAGGAGCAGCCTGCTGCTGCCACAGCCGCGCGCTCTCCAGGCAGCTGCTGCGCTGCACCGGGCAGCGTCTGGAGTGGCTCCGGGCCCTGGCTGCCAGGAAGAGCAGTCAAACATGCCGGGGAAGCTGGCGCAGTGGGAGGACAGAGCCGCCCCCCACAGGTAACGTTGGACGGGGAGAGCGCGGGGGCCCTAGGCTGGGGGTGGGTTGGGGCACAGTCATGTTGGGGGGTCACATAGGGAGGTCATGTGCCCCTCCCCTTTAGCTGGTGCCCCCTTTTGTGTCCCTACCCCGAGTCGCCTTGATGCATCCAGCATTATAATGGGGCCACCTAGCCCAGGCCACAGGGTACGGTGGTGTGTTTCTCTCCAGGTCTGGGCAGGACTGGACGTGAGGTTCATTCTCGCTGAGACTGAGCCTATGATGGCAGGTTGCGGGAAGCAGCTGCAGGGTTTAGCAAAGTCACTGTCAGCCCCTCTGATTGAGGGGATGGGTGCAGCATTTGTCACTTGGGTGTATAACTTAGTAGGATTGGTAAACTCCCAGGTGCTTCCCTCGGATCAAATAACAGCAGTGGCCAGGCAGTGTCTGGGCACTAGGCTCCAGCCTTTTCTCTTGGCTGAGGACTTTGCTACTGTGATCCATGCCTTTGTCACCTCTAGGCTGCTATGCTGGGCTGCATTGGGTAAACCTTAAATTCCTTTGGGAACAGAAGGTTTTGTGAAGTGGTGTCTCCTGACAGGAGAGTATGGCACTGGGCTACAGGATTGGCACTGGCTGCCCAGGGGCTACCTAACTTTCAGCCCAGCGCTTCACGGCCAAATGCTTGTCGGCTCCAATCTAACAGCTTTCAGGACAGAGCTGCTAGGCAGCAGTTCTGCGGAAAAGGACCTAGGGGTGACAGTGGACGAGAAGCTGGATATGAGTCAGCAGTGTGCCCTTGTTGCCAAGAAGGCCAATGGCATTTTGGGATGTATAAGTAGGGGCATAGCGAGCAGATCGAGGGACGTGATCGTTCCCCTCTATTCGACATTGGTGAGGCCTCATCTGGAGTACTGTGTCCAGTTTTGGGCCCCATACTTCAAGAAGGATGTGGATAAATTGGAGAGAGTCCAGCGAAGGGCAAAAAAAATGATTAGGGGTCTGGAACACATGACTTATGAGGAGAGGCTGAGGGAGCTGGGATTGTTTAGCCTGCAGAAGAGAAGAATGAGGGGGGATTTGATAGCTGCTTTCAACTACCTGAAAGGGGGTTCCAAAGAGGATGGCTCTAGACTGTTCTCAATGGTATCAGATGACAGAACGAGGAGTAATGGTCTCAAGTTGCAGTGGGGGAGGTTTAGATTGGATATTAGGAAAAACTTTTTCACTAAGAGGGTGGTGAAACACTGGAATGCGTTACCTAGGGAGGTGGTAGAATCTCCTTCCTTAGAGGTTTTTAAGGTCAGGCTTGACAAAGCCCTGGCTGGGATGATTTAACTGGGAATTGGTCCTGCTTCGAGCAGGGGGTTGGACTAGATGACCTTCTGGGGTCCCTTCCAACCCTGATATTCTATGATTCTATGATTCTAGGGGAGCTCCTCCCATGGTTCCTCCCACAGGTATCCAGGGCTGCCCAGCAAGCAGTAGCAAGTGTTCGGACACTAGAGTTGGCTAAAGCAAAAGAGGTGCCACACGAGTATCTGCCTGCCCGTGATACCGAATGGCCAGTGACAAAGGCAGCAAAGCATGCAGTGCCTACGCCTAGGATTGAGGAACTGTCCCAGCCGTGCAAAAGGTACGTGCTCACCAGAGGGGGCTTGCTAAAGGGAGAGGGGAAAGTTTGCTCAGCTGTGCAGAGAGCACGTTTCTTTGTCATCGTTCCTGTGTCTCACCAGCTGGTTCTATGGCCATTTCGCTCAGAATGCAGAAATGTATTAAGCAGAACTAGTTCTTGTAGGAACCCAAAAGCTAATTGTGCTGTTAAACAGCTGCCATTCCACCCCAGAGATGTTTGCATGTTACTATTGGAAGAAGCGACTCGTGAATGTATATTAGACTGTATATACAGTTTGAAAAGTGCTATGAAATTTTTTGAGATGGCAGCGCTGGGAAAACCACTCTTGAGTTACTGATTTTAGCACATTACTTAGTAAATACGGTAAGAAAAGTAAGGCTAATGTATCATACAATGCTCTTTGTTCATTTATGTTGTTAATCGTAGTGTAGCCTTTGTCAGGCTGTCTGGAGTGGCTCACAACTGTGAGTGCCTATCTCAGGGCAGACTGCCAGAAAACAAGGGCAGATGCCCCAAACTCATGGTGTGTTCTATTGTTAGATTTTTACCAAGCCAGTAACAAATGTGAATGCCTGGATCACTATACCTGGAGTCACAGACAGTCCCCTTAGACTCTCCAGCCCATCTTGCCACCCAGACAAACTGCACTTTGTGATAAAAAATTATAGAAACCAAAAGTCACATCACATTAGGTTACTCCCAATCCCAAAGTCACTTACCCCAAATCAATTGGTAGTCTGGATCTTATGCCAAGAACAACACTTATAGCCAGTTCTCTAGTAAACTAACTAAAGGTTTATTAGCTAAGAAAAAGAAATGAGAGTTATTGAGAGGTTAAAGCAAGTAAAACATATTAACAGGTGAGTCAAAGTTTGTAAGTCCAAATGTTAGCAGAGATGGAGTAATCTGCCAGTCTCCAAAAGACTTTCAGGGTTACCCAGGAGAACTCTGGGGATCTCTGTCTGTTCACTCAGTATTTCCACCCTGTTGGAATCCAGACAGTCCAGAGATGCAGGATCATTCCATGAACCCATATTTATAGCTTTCCCTCACAGGAGGCAATCTGATAAGTGTCTTTATTCCTCCATGATCCCTGGCTTTGAAATTAGCATTTTCTGTTACAGCCATTAAGTCTTTCATTAGCATTTCCAAGATTCCATTTTAGTCACAGGGATATACATAATTTAAAAGGTAAGGTAATAGCAAACAACAATCCTTCATTAGTTTTCATGAAGTTTTAATACCTGATTACAATCTTACACGAACACACCTTTGATTACAGGGTATACATAATGTAGAAGTAACGTAATAGCAAACTATGGGATATAGACAGATGAAAACAATATAATCAACATCTTTGATATTCACATACAAGTGAATTGCCTTGAGAATCTGGCATGCACAGGCACCTGGCCTGTCAGCATCACAGCCTTAATTATCTGTGGCAATATATCAGCATGTACTACGGAATGCTCTGTGATATATTTTGCAAAAATAATGAAATTTTAGTACTATGGGACCTCTCAATGATGCCTGCTATTCAATCTTGGCTGAGAGACATGGAGAGGTCGTCAGTGATTTGTGCAGAGTGTAAGGGGTGCAGTTTGAAGTTCTCCTGAAAACATAAGCTCTTACTGTTAGTAGCTATAGATTCAGAACTTAAGCTCCAGTTGTTAAAACTGAGGGAGTCTTCAGAAATCACGTTGACACTCCTAACCCATTCTTCTTCTGTGTTTTCACGGTTTCAGGCCCACTGCAAACCTTGCTCAGTTTGATCCAGATGCCTTTTTTGTAAAGGAGTCTGCTAAGAAGGCAGTTTGCTCCAGCAGGCTTCAAAAACTAGCACACCCTATTGAGCGCTGAACCCCTTGGCTCTTAGGTTCATTAAATCCTTCGAAGATTCATGGCTGTCTTGTCTGCTGTTCCCCTCCCCAGTGCATGTGATTACATGTTGTAGGTAGACTGTATGCTTGGGAGAGTTTGAATAAAGAAGAGATGGATGATCTGGGGAAAAGCCCGCCAGTGATTCAACTGCTGCTGCTTTTAAATACGTTGCGTCTCTACCCAAGTTCTCAAATAAAAATTTGTCCAAAAATTAAAAAAACTCAGAGTATTTCTTTGCACAGTTAGGGCTGAATCATACTCCCCATGCCCTGAGTTCCTTTGCTTCTCAGAGGCGCCCTATGAGAGGATTTCTTCCATGAGTTAGCCCATCCAACTCCACATTCTTTATACTCACCTTATGCTTAATCTGGCCTCTTCCCCACACATATTGCCCATATATAACATGTTTTAGTTTCATCTTCATGGGAAGGCCCAGAACCACCGTGATCTGCAAAGACATGCTTTTCACTTTGCTGGGAGGTACCTACAACCCAATGCAGAAATCCTTTCTCATGTTTTTCGTAAGCGATTTCCATTCACTGTTAGAGCGGGGATGAATTTTTTTTGGCAAATAGTTTATTCACCAAAAATGTAGTTTCAGGTTGACTGAAACTATTTGCAAATTTGGGTCGAATTCAGTGAATAGTTTTGGCTGGAAAAAAAGGAAAAAATATTCTGAAAATGCTGAAGTGAAACATTTTGATTTTTTGTTTCAAAATGATGATTTGCTTAAAAATTTAGCTACATTTAGCTAATTTCCCCTCAAAGTATAAAAAACTCCCAAAATGAAATGAAACATTCTATTTTGAGTTGAACTAAATGTTTTGTTTGACTCGAAACAAAAAAAAATATTTTTTTTTCTTTTAGGGTGAGAAATTGTCATTTTGGGTTGACCCGAAACAAAACATTTTTCTGGTTTTTTTTTTCAGTTTGGCCACTGAACTGAAAAATCGGTTATTCAACCAGCTCTATACTTACACTTGGATTACTTTGTAAATGAAGACTATTAGTCATATATTGCTACTGTAACAGGTGAAAGGGATGCATATATGCTCAATTGTAATCTGTTCTTTGCTTCATGGACTCAAAATCCCATATGGAATGCTGATAGGTGTGGAGGAGCACACGTGTAGGGAACATAATAACGGCTATACTGGGTCAGACCAAAGGTCCATAGATTCATAGATACTAAGGTCAGAAGGGACCATTATGATCATGTAGTCTGACCTTCTGCACAACGCAGGCAACAGAATCTCACCCAGCCACTCCTGCGAAAAACCTCTCACCTATGTCTGAGCTATTGAAGTCCTCAGATCGTCGTTTAATGACTTCAAGGAGCAGAGAATCCTCCAGCAAGTGACCCATGCCCCATGCTATAGAGGAATGCGAAAAACCGCCAGGGCCTCTTCCAATCTGCCCTGGAGGAAAATTCCTTCCCAACCCCAAATATGGCGATCAGCTAAACCCTGAGCATATGGGCAAGATTCACCAGCCAGATATCCGGGAAAGAATTTTCTGTAGTAACTCAGATCCCACCCCATCTAACATCCCATCACAGGCCATTGGGCCTATTTACCATGAATATTTAAAGATCAACTAATTACCAAAATCATGTTATCACCTAGCCCAGTATCCTGCCTTCTGACAGTGGCCAATGCCAGGTGCCCCACAGGGAATGAACAGAACAGGTAATCATCAAGTGATCCATCCCCTGTCACCCATTCCCAGCTTCTGGCAAACAGAGGCTAGGGACACCATCCCTGCCCATCCTGGCTAATAGCCATTGATAATAGCACCCCTTAGTGATGCAGTTATTAAAGGGGGTACTAGTAAAGAGGATAGGAAAGAAGCTAATAAAGTACAGGTAGAAGCTAGTGAGGAACAGTCAAATGTAAAAGAGTCCCATTTAAATATAAGATGTGAAGGAAAGCAACTGAATATTGACAAAATTTACAAGTGCTTATATACAAATGTTAGAAGTCTAAATATTAGAGTGAATTAGCGTCCTGGCAATAAATGAGGATGTTGATATAACAGAAACTTGGTGGAATGATGATAATCAGTAGGACATGGTAACACCAGAGTACAAAATATATCAGAATGACAGAGGAGTTTGTGCTCGTGCGGGAGGGGCACACTTAGTAACAGAAAGCATCGAGTCAAATAGTCAAAGTAAAAATGTTAAATAAATCAAACTGTCCCATAGAAGCTCTATGGATAGAAAGAACAGAATTATCAGACTCATAGATGGACATGATATATTGAGGAAGAGTCTTTGACAAGGTCACACACAAAAGGCTCTTAAAAAAAGTAAGCAGTCATGGGATAAGAGAGAAGGTCCTCTCTTGGATCAGTAACTGATTAAAAGATAGGAAACAAAAGGTAGGAATAAATTATCAGTTTTCACAATGGAGAGAGAAAGAAATAATGGGGTTCTCCAAGGATCTATCTTGGGACCTATACTATTCAACATATTCATAAATGATCCAAAAAAGGGGATGAAAAGTGAAGTGGCAAAGTCTGCAAATGATAGAGAATTACTCATGATAGTTAAGTCCAAAACAGACTGTGAAGAGTTACAAAGGAGTCTCACAAAACTGAGGGACTGGGTGACAGAATGGTAGATGAAATTCAATGTTGATAAGTTCAAAGTAATGCACATTGGAAAACATAATCCTAACTGTACATACAAAATGATGGAGTCTAAATTAGCTGTTACCACTCAAGAAAGAGATCTTGGAGTCACTGGATAGTTCTCTGCAAACCATTGCTCAATTTGTAGCGGCAGTCAAAAAAGCTAACAGACTGTTAGGAACCATTAGGAAAGGGATAAATAATAAAATAGAAAATATCATAAAACCACAAAATAAATCCATGGTACACCCACACCTCGAATACTATGTGCAGTGCTGGTTCTGTTTCTGCAGGAAGGGATAGCTCAGTGGCTTGAGCATTGGCCTGCTAAACCTAGGGTTGTGAGTTCAATCCTTGAGGGGGCCATTTAGGGATGTGGGGCAAAAATTGGGGATGGGTCCTGCTTTGAGCAGGGGGTTGGACTAAATGACCTCCTGAGGTCCCTTCCAATCCTGATAGATTCCCCCATCTCAAAAATCTGA